TTCTTTCTCTCTTCCTTTTGGAGTCTAATGTTTGTTTTTATATAATGTCCAAGGGTTTTTTAGTTATATCTGTTGGGAGGAATAAGGCAAAGTACATTTGTTTCCTCTGCCTGAAAGTGGAAACTCTAAGTTTTTCTTTCTTTCTTTCTTTCTTTCTTTCTTTCTTTCTTTCTTTCTTTCTTTCTTTCTTTCTTTTTCTTTCTTTCTTTTCTTTTCTTTCTTTTCCTTCCTTCCTTCCTTCCTTTTCTCCAACCCTGATATCAAGAGTTGTAAGCTCAGAACCAGCCCTCTAAATATTTTTCTAAATGGTAACCCCCCACCAAATAGAACATTGAACCAGCTGAAAAAAACCATTGAAAAATTAAAAAGTAGGTATATTAAAACAGCATTCTTCTAGTTTTAAGTATTTTATCTATATCAAAAACATAATTTATGGTAATTTTGCTTTCCTGGCTTGAATGGGAACAACCGCATCAAAACTTTGTTTTTCTGCATCTACTTCTAGAAAAAAAAAAATGAACCAATAAAAACTGCACAACCCGTGTAGAGGGGCACATGCTTACTTTTGCCTCAGGTTATATATAGCAGGTTATATATATATATAGCATATATATATATATGGTCTGTTGGATCGGTCTTTATTTAAAACATTGACACTTTGTTCATTTATGGATTTTTTGCTTTGATTTTGATTATTAAAAAAAAGGTCACTAAATATTACTTACCTTGATGACCGATTTTTCTGGCATCCCCTTAACTTTTGCATCTGAGCTGGTAGTCCCAGGCTAAGCAGGTAATGTTCTGTTTGGGTAAAGTGGTGGGTGGGCTCTAGATCTCCCTCAGAGCTTAGAGCTTTACCTCCAAGGGGCAGATTAACTCAGATTAAGAGAAAGGACAGCTGAGAAGGCAAGCACGAGTCTCCTGGATGCGAAGGTCCTCCTGGGGTGGGATACTCTATTTGTAGGACGGAAGAACTGCAGAAGCAAGGGCCTCTCGGCTCAGCCCCGTCAGGGCACATACTGTCCTGTATGTGCTGGACATGCCACTGGGGTGGGACCTCTGCTCTCCATGCCCACCCACCGGCAGGAGAGACGGGCCCAGAAGCTGCATTCTACCAGAACAGGAAAAGGGGTAACTTTACGTCTCCTGGGACCTGGTCTTAGAGTGGTATTTTGCTCGTGTGATTCTCGTGACATGGGGTCGGTGTTGTCATCTCCCTCATTTCGCTGATGAAGCAGTGGGCTGACCCTTGGGAAGAGAGGGTGCGTGCTGCCCTCCTAGCTCTCTGCACGCCTTCCTGCCTTACTCTTCACTCTGTGCCTCTTCCTGTGCCAGCTCCGGGCACATGCTCAGGAATGCCTGGAACCCCTTTCTGGTGCCTGGGCTGTGGGCTCAGCCACCCCAGGAGCAGCTTGATGTCACCCTATTGCCCTGCTCGAACACAATGTCCTTCCTCCACCTTCCCTCCCAGCCGGCCTCTTGCCCTGGCTATATTTAGGACTTTCCATGCTCTTTACCACCAAAGCTTTCCATTCTTTCTGTGGATCTGAGGAGGGGGCAACTCCGAGATCTTGCACACCTGTGGCGGAAGAACGCTTTGCTCTAGGTCCTTCTTGTTTCTATCCTCTCCCCTAGCTCTTCCCCACCCCACTCAGGTTGTGGGTGAAAAGCCCGGGTTATTAGAACATCATGGCTGAGGCCAGGCTTAGGAGGAGGGTGGCTTGTCCCTCATTCCAATAAAAAATTCTCTGGCATCTAGTGGTAAATAGTTACCAGTCAGTCACTCATCAGTGGCTCTCAACTTCTTCCCCCCACGCCACCCCTTTGATTATTTTACCCTTCATGAAGCCCATCCTTCTAAGGTTTTATCTTCCCTCCAAACAAAACTTTATTAAGTAATGATTACATTCTTAGTTTTGGGGTAGTCAAAGATTCTTCTAACACTTCTGATCAGTAGGAAATAACCAGTTGCTATGCCAAAAGCAAAGAAACTTGATACTTCATTTTCTTTAAGACCCCATGCATGATTTTAAGTTATGACAATAGCTTTAGGTCCCTCACGACAATGGATAACACTTGAGAGATCATGTCATTCAGCCCCTCATTTCTTTTTAGACAGAACTTGCTCAGATATAGTAAGTTCGTAATACAAGGTTACACAGCGAAACTTCTCAAGGCGACTGATGCGTTTTTCAGAGTTGCGGTTGGCGAGGCACTATGGGTGGGTGAGGGTCCCTGCTGCAGGGCCAAAGTCTGGACTATGCCTAAGGTTCTCACAGACCTTTCCCCTTCCCGACTGCCTGGGCACCCCAGGCCTGGGAACTGTATCCTGGGAACTGGGCTGCAGAGCTGTGGTGGTCTAGTGCCCAGACCCACAGCACTGCTATCCTCTCGCATCCCAGCTTGACGACCACTTTTCTCCCCAATCGGGTGGATCTTCCTCCTAAAACTAAAGGAGGTGACTTCCTTCCTTCATCTGAGTTTCTGGCATCATGTTCTCTACTGCTGACCTGCCTTCTGGTCTCTCAATCTGAATTTCCAATCTACCCTGGTGTCACAGATTTGGTAAAGTTATTTTACAAGGGGGGGAGGGGGGAACCCTAACTTTCTGGGAGTGACACACATCTGGATCCCAGACGTGCGTGTGCAGGGGTTCCCCAGTTTCTCCTAACAGGCCCTGCCTCACAGGTGACCCGGCGCTTTGGGATCCCCGGGCTGAAGAAGACCATGGACTGGTTCGGCTACTACGGAGGTCCCTGCCGCGCCCCCTTGCAGGAACTGAGCCCCGCGGACGAGGAGGCGCTGCGTACTGATTTCACCAGTAATGGCTGGCTCTGAGAGAGAGGAGGGGGCGTGCCTGGCCCGAGCCCATCTCAGCTTCCCACCCTGTACCCGGAGCTGAAGAGGCACATGGGCCTGTTCCCCCACTTCGGCCTTCCAGGTAGCCTCTCGCCAGGCTCTGCCGTGCACGCCCACCTCCTGTTCTCATAGTCCTTTGACTGCTGGCATTTGTGTCCTAAACTCTGGCTCTCTAGAGACCTCCAGTCTGGGAAGGAGCAAGTGCTGTCCTGTGCCCCAGGACATGTGGCCAGGAGCCAGAGGGGAAGAACAGGAGGGCAACCAGGCACAAGTTAGGTCATGTATTTTATGGATGGGAAGACCACTGAGACTCGGGGGTACACACCTGAGCCCAGCATATGCGGCGCAGAGCCAGGGCTATTCCTAAGAACCCAAGTTCTGACTCCTTCCAGGGAAAGTGGGAGGTTAGGAAACCTGATCTGAAAAGCGTCACTAGCCTTTGGAAGCCCCTCCCCACCCCATCTGCATTCCAGACACAGTGCCCTTTCCTAAATCCATTTTGATCACCTCATATTCTTATCTCTAGCCTTGATCTTAACCAGAGAGAGCACAGAATCAGCCCAGTGGCTTGCCAGAATTGGTAAATAATGACACCTAGTGGATAAATGTTACATTCTAGGAGACTTCTAGCTAACCTAAGTCTGAAACATTAAGGAAGGAGACTAGGCCTGAGACCTGGCCATTCTCTTGCCTGTAGGCACTCTTCTTTTATTGTTAAAAATAATATTTTGTTCTTGCAATAAAGTTGAATAAAACAGTGTGGCTGTGTATAAACTGATACTTCACTGCTATGTACGTCTTAAGTTTCCTGCCTAGATATCAGGAACCTTCCTAGAGGCAATTTAACTTTGTTTATTTTGGGGGGCGGGTAGGAACAAAGAGAGAAGGGGACAGAGGATCTGAAGCAGGCTCTGTGGTGACAGCAGAGAGCCAGATGTGGAGCTTTAACTCAGAAACCTGAGTGGAACTGGGCCACTTAACTGACTGGGCCACCCAGGCACCCTGAGGCAATTCAGTTTTCAAGGCCTTCTCTGCTTTGAGAGAGGCCCTAACAATACTTGGCAAACATAGGTATTAGATTAGTGGTGGCTTAGGGGAAAGGCTTAGTTGAAGTTTTGAGTGGGAGATAGGAGGCAAAAAGCTTCAATTAAGATAATTAGAAACACATAGCACATTAATCAAAAAGGTTGTTTTCTCTAGAAATGTTTAACTTAACCTTATTTAGTGATACTTGACTAGTGGCAGTAAACCAGGGATGGATTTAAAAAAAATTACTCTGGCTAAAAAGAAAGGTAAACAGATTCTTGTTTAGGACAAAGGCTAGAGGAGAGAGTATAAAAGGTTTCAATCTTCAACTCAAATTGGGCATCTGGATGATACTGAGGCTTGGGGCTTAGCACCTGGGCTCTTCTCACAGGCAATGTCTGGATGAGAAGATCTGGGCTCAGAAAAGAATCTGGCTTCAGGAAGGGGACAAAAAGTTAGGGCTCGGGAGACTGGCTAGTACACTGGTAAGGCACTCCACCTCTGGGCTTAAATTAAGCAGGCCTGGGTTTAAGTTCCTTGACCTGCCCCTTACAGTCTAGGGCACCTTGGACAGCTACCTCCCTGCCCAATCTGATCTGCAATTTGGGGATAATAACCATTCCTTTCTCTCAGGGCTATATAAGATCGTGCATGTAAAAGGGGTTAGCATAGCAGCTGAATGTTGCACATGAGCTCAGCTGGGGAAGTATTACTCTACTTGTTGCAGAAAAAGGGAAGCCCTGGCAGGAGTTGACTTGCCCAAGGTAACCCAGCAGGTGTGACAATAACTGGTCTCAGGACGTGGGTACTCTTGAAGCTCAGGGCAAGAGACGTACAGTGGAAAGTGATTTGGAATCAGAAAGACTGAGATACAAATCCCACTCAGCTCTGGCACTTCCCAGTTTGGGCAACCCGAGTCTGTCTGGTTTAAAACAAAAAACAAAACAAAACAAAAAAACCTGCCCCTACCCTGCAGAGGTCTTGAGAATTAGATTCTATGTAGTAAAGTGTGCAATGTCGGTACCAAGCCCCCATCAGTGATTAACTTTTAAAAACAGCAACTGGGTTGATTCCTGAGGATGCAGAGCAAGAGTAAAGAGATGAACGATAGGCAGTTCTGGTGATTTGTTTATTCCTCATAAACACTTGTTTCTACAGTACAACTCAGAGAATACAGAGAGGCACACGGCTATAATTTCCACCACAATCTGCTGTTGAGGAGACATCCAGTGTGAGGATAGGGGGTTGGGGGTGGGCTGGGCGTGTGTAGGTCACAGGATAGTAGGGGGCCTCCATGATGACTAGGCAGGGATCCTACTGGTCAAGATCTGATCTCCCCAGGCCTGATGGCCAAGCTCATGGTAGAAGAGTTAACAGTGGACCGAATGCAGGGAGCCAAATTCTCTTTTGGTTCACCACAGTGCTAGGCTGGGTCCAATTCTACCCAAGCGCCAAGGGGTTGAGGTGGGTCTGACCTCCTAATCCACTGGGAAGGGGCTGTGTTAGCCCAAGCCATCCCTAAGGATTCAATTACTCCGTGGTAGGGCCTGAAGTATGCCAGGGGTGTCTGCCCTTTGCCCTGGAGTAATGAAAAAGTACAAGTTATAAGATGACTCTTTGTATCAGTTTTTTGAGTATCCCCAAAAGGGATCCTGTCCCATCTACGAAAGGAGAGAGGCACAAATAGGGCACAAATTAGCTTCTGGAACTCAGGTAAGGAAGACAGCTTATAAAGTCAAGGGATAGGGAAACAGCATTCTTACCAAACCCTTCACAGGGGGAATAAGCAGACACAAATACCAGTCTGGTGAGACAAAGTGGTTGGCCTGGAGCCATGAAGTCAACCAGCAGCAACGGGGGGAGGGAGGGGGAAGACACGCAGAAGAGCTCTGGCCTGGCCTTCACAGGACTGCTGGGCTGTCTAAGCCACCCCTATCCCTCTCCCTGGTTCTCCAGGGAAGCGCAGAGCACTTGCCCTACTTTGGGTCTAGGATCAACTGCCCCAAATACAGGCAGGACGAAGAGGTTCTGCCCTGCTTGGCAGGAAATCAAGGAGAAGCAAGTCTGCGTGGGGCAACCCAGGGCTTTAGGACAGAGAATACCAACAAGTGAGTGAAGGAAAGACAGGACTGGTGACCCTGCTGGGGGCAGCGGGCGGGAGTCCTCAGAACTTTGGTGACAGAATCCCTCCCGGGCGGGTGTGGGCGCGTCCTGAGGCTCCTGCTCTGCGCGCCTTCTCATGTCCTCACAGCCGGCACACTTAACACACCTCGGGTGAGTAACAGGGCCTTTGCTTCACCCGGGCCTTGTCGGCGGGCGCTCGGCCCCGCGTCAGGCAGTGAGGTTCCTGGCGGACTTGGAGGCGCTCTGGGCCCGCTGGACGACCGCCGAACATTTCTCCCGCCGCAGCAGCTTGTTGTTCTCAAACAGGCCTTCATTGCGAGGTATTCCGTGGGAACCATCGGGGAAGGTCAGCAGGCCTTGGAGGGGGCCAGAGAAAATTCGGGATGGCAGAGGGCATCAGTGACTCAGGGAGAAGCCCGATGCGAAGCCGCAGAGGAGGACTCGCGGGTCGGCCCTGGGTCGCAGTCCGCGGGCTTGCCGAACCCCTCGGGATCGCTGGGCACCCACAAAAGCACCACAACTGACGAGGTGTTCCTCCACCCATATGCTGGTCCCCCCGTCACCCGTCCTGGTGAGCCATGACTTACCAAAACCATCTACTCTGCCATTCTTAAATTCCCCTTCAAACGTCATGTTGTCATGCCGGATGAAGACTCCAACACCATTAAACTTGCCCTGGGCAAACTCCCCCTCGTACCTGCAGAAACACGACAGTCTTTAGTGGGGTAGCAGGCAATCCAGGTCAACTGCGTGAAGCAGCTACCAATAAGTGTTATTTATTTATTTATTTTGAGAGAGAGAGAGAGAGAGAGAGAGAGTGAGAGTGAGCAAGGGAGGGACAGAGAGAGAGGGAGAGAGACAATTCTCAAGCAGGCTTCCTGCTGTCAGTGTGGAGCCCGCTTTGGGACTCCATCTCATGAACCATCAGATCATGACCTGAGCCAAAACCAAGAGTCAGACACTCAACCAACTGAGCCACCCAGGCGCCCAGGAAGTGTTACTTATTAACGCCAAGGAGCAAAACTGATTCTGCTTGTGTCAGAGCTCTCCCCTGACCCCACCCACCCCACTCCCAACCGGCAGAGAAGGGCCAGAGAGCAAGTGTGATGTGAGGCTCTAATCTCAAGGAGATAACAGAAGAGGATGGCAGTGGGGTGGAAGGTCACTCAGCGACATGCCATTTCAAATTTTAGATCAATTTATAAAGGAACTGAAAAAGAACTGCTTACTCCTTGCCTGTTTTCAGAGGCCCTGGGACATCTCAGGTCTGACCAGCTGTTATCACTCTCAAAGCTGAGAAAGGAACGGCCCAGTACTCACCTTGAGCCATCTGAGAAAGTCAGTACCCCGAAGCCATTAAAGAGCCCATTCTCAAAATGACCCAGGTAGGTGCCACCATCTGCAAACATCAGTTGACCAAAACCATGTCTGCGGCCTGAGCGAAGAGAAAGACAGTCGTCAGGTTGGGATGGGGCAGCTTCAGGGAGCCCCTCACTGCCTAACATCTCTTGCCTTTCGTCATCTCACCCACAAAGGACGGAAGAGAAGCAGTGATGCTGGCAGGGCAGAGCTCCTACCCAGAGTCAGGCAGGAAAATCTGGCTCCCTGGACCTTCCCATCCTGTCCCAGCCTCACAGGGGCAGCGGGTCTCTGTAGGTATGAATGATAAGAGGGCCTCTGCTGTGTGTCACGCACTCTTCTGAGCTCTTTGTGTTTATCATCTCATTTAATCCTCATGACGCTAGGACGTGGGCATAGTACCGTTATTGTTCCCATTTCACAGATGCAGAAACCAAGGCTAGGGAGAAGCCAAATCACTTACTCGAGATCACAGAGCGGTTAAGTAGCAGAGCAAGGGCGCAAATGCGGCAGAGCCCTCCACACTCACTTAGGCGGCCTCTCTGAGGAAAACAAGCTCACCTCGGCACCGTGAAGCCAGGGGGCCAACCTACCGGCTGGCCTGGCAACACTGGTTTGGGCTTGGTTATGTCAGCAGGGCTGTGCTTACCCACTGAATGGACCAGAAAACAGCAAGCTGCTGGAGGAGCAATCCTGTCCTCCAACAGAATACGAGGGAGCCCTTCCAGGGATGGAGGGTGGCGCCTCTACATGGCCGGAGCCGAGGGGACAGCAGGTGCTGGGGAGGCAGGGGAAAGGCATGGGGGTGTACTGAGGCGATGCTGCACAGTTTCTCCTCTCAGGGCTCAACAACTCATCAGCTGCAGGGATCTAGCGTGAAAAGACTGGGCTCTGTGTCTGGAAACGGCCTGAACGTCTCTTCACTGGCACCGCTGTGGGAAGTCCAGGCTCCTCTCCTCGGGGCGGTTCCTGGCTTGGAGGGACTGGACCCATGAGGCTTTTAAGTGGCCAGACTGTGTTTTTCAGTCTCTGAAGAATTTCTCCATTCCTTGAATAGGTACTTCCAAATGTAATGAGCTGTCACAGGAAATCCAAGGCAATGGATGTCATTTGCTCTCGAGCGTCTGTCCTAATTTCTAGATCTTCCTTAATTTTTTAAGGTTCCCTGGAACCAAGTCATTGCAATGAATTCTGCACTTTCTAATTTATGGGCACTTCATGTAATTCATTTTACTCTGGCTGGTACATGAGCATTTATAAAAAACAATTCCCAAATAATAACACTAAAAGAGTAAAAGGATGCTAAAACATTTTATATTCAGAACTAGAAAGATTTCACTCATTGCAGGGGACTGGGCAAACAATGGCATTTCAAATTCCTTTATTTAAGCCTAAAATCAAATAAAGGAAAGGCACTATTCAGATTACATCCTGGAATGAGACATGAAGATTCATCCAGTTGGCTTCTATAGCTTTATGTGTTTGTCCTTTAGTCAAATTAAGTGTTCACCACTTGACCCCCAGGGGCCCTCTCACCTTCCTTCCACTCGCCGCGATATTCCTCCCCACTGGAGTAGGTGAAAGAGCCTTTAGTGAGGGTCATGGTGCCAGCTTACAGAAGAAAAGGATGAAACCTGCAGGAAACGAGCAGAGGAGAACCAGAGTCACAGGATGGCTGGAGGAAAGGCCAATGAAGCAATTTCACAGATATACTCTACTTACTTGCCAGCCTGGTAAGTATATATACATTACTTTGGATGCATTTAACAAACATACCTACCTCTCCAAACCCTGCTTGAAACCATCGCCTCTGTTCAAGCAGTCTTATCCTCTTCCTGGTCTTAAAAGGTATCAGCTAGGGGGGACCTGGGTGGCTCAATTAAGCATCCAACTCCAGCTCAGGTCATGATCTCACAGATCATGAGTTTGAGCCCCACATCGGGCTCTGTGCTGACAGCTCAGAGCCTGGAACCTGCTTCAGATTCTACGTCTCCCTCCCTCTCTGCCCCTCCCCTGCTCTCTCTCGCTCTCTTTCTCTCTCTCTCGGAAACTGAATAAACATTTAAAAAAATTTTTTTTAAGTTATCAGCCAGTTCCAATTTTCTATGACCTGGGATAGAAACTGAGGATTAATCTACAAATATTGCCTTGATACCTACTATGTGTTTAGTTGATGTATAAAATATAGTCTCTTCCCTCAATGAGTTTACAATCTAGTTGCCAAGACTAATAACGAAACCGCTGAACAATATGGGAGATGATGTAATTAAGAGGCAGAGATGAACAAAGACAAGGGATGGGATGTACTGAAAACAAGCAGTGAAGAGAGCAAAGGGCAGCTGCGGAGAGAGAAAACCTGGGCAATGAGTGCACAAAGAGCAACGTACCCTGGATGTTTAGTGGAAAAATATGAAGCTGGGTTTTACTGCAATTGAAGGTTTAATTTAGGGAGTAACAGGCAACAAGTTTGTCTTAGGTACTCAGGTGAAATCTGAAATCTGAAAAAAAAAACCCTCTCAGATTTAATCCAAACGCCCTCATTTTATAGATGGAGAGGGAGAAGCCCAGAGAAGTTATAAGCCAGTCTGTGCCTGAGCCGGGACTCATGCCCTGGCTTCCCCCGACTACTGCTAGTTCTTCCTCTCTCATAGTGCATGCTCTGCTTTCAGGGCTAGGCTACCGTACGGAGACCTTTGAAAGCCAGGCAGAAGAGTTCACAGCTAATGAGACGGGGAAAGGGGAAGGCTCTGGGGGTTTGTGAACAGAGACATAGCATGAAAGCGGTGCTTACGGAAAATGACCGTGGCAGCGGGAGGTAGGATGCTTTGGAGCAGCAAAAGCCGACAGCCAGAGAAGCCTGCAAGGCGGGAGATGTGATAATTCAGTAGACTGAAAATGAGCACAAACTACTCCCGCTCTGCTCACGCCCTTGTGATGTCACATGGCAGCATCTCCATGAATGGCAGTTTGCTCCTCCACGCACTGGGTCTGGGCGGTTTATATGACTTGCTCTGGCTAATGGAACGCAGGCAAAGGTGGTACAGCAGAGGTGTGCAAAGTGCTTGTACGCTGGGCTTGCCCTCTCCCTGCACTTGGAACTGTTCTGCCCTCATGTGGACAAGCCCGGACTGGCCAGCTGGTGATGAGGGGTCATGTGGAGTTGTCCCGGCTGACCATGGATGCAGCAGAGCTGCTCCTGAGCCCAGCTCCAAATTAATGACCCACAGAATCACGGACTACATGGTTGCTGTTTCAAGCCACTATGTTTTGGGGGTAACATGTTATTACCCAGAAAAGCTAACTGATCCAACCAGGTATAAGATCATAAGACCTGAACTACGGGGACATCAGTGTAAGGGGAGTAGAACGAAGGAATGACTGTGACAGAGAGGCTGCCTAGGTATGGCTTCACAGGTGTAGTAAAAGAATGCTTGTATTCAGTTCAAAGATATCCTGTAAGGCAAACCATAAGAGACTCCTAAATTCAGAGAACATACTGAGGGTTGGTGGAGGGGTGCTGGGTAGGAGATGGGCTAAATGGGTGATGGGCATTAAAGAGAGCACTTGTTGGGATGAGCACTGGGTGTTATGTGTAAGTGATAAATCACTAAATTCTACTCCTGAAATCATTATTACATTCTATGTTAACTAACTGGGATTTAAATAAAATAAAAAGATTTTTAAAAAGGAGGTTAAGATAACCCAAAATATCATTAAATGCAGAGACAAACAGAATCATTTGACATATTTTTTAAAAAGGCAATCCCTAGTCCTTTTTTAATTCCCTAGGTCTTTTTACTCACCTCCTCATCTCTTCCAGACCTAAGCAACAAAACATTTTTCCAAGTGACTGTGACAATGCAGAATCCTAGGCCCACACCCAGATCTACTGAATCAGATTCTGTAAATTAGAGCCTGGGCATCTGCAGTTTCAACAAGCACATCGTTACACTGTTAAACATTTAAAAGCATGGGAACTACTACTCCAATCAATGGCTATCCTATGGGTGAAAGTTCTCTGACCTAGAAATCATCATTGAAAGGTCCTCTGTTATTAACAGTGAAGCTAAAGTCTGACCATCATGCATCTGATTGAGTTCCGACAGGACAAGTGCACCCCTTCTTCAGAACATGGGGGCCAGACCTGGAGGACCGAACAGGAGGGGGTTTTAATCCCTGCAGGCCTGGTGCCCATGGCTAGCTTCTTTCAAGTCCCAGAGGAGCCTAAATCACACACAACATTAAGGGTTGTATTGCTGTCTCCATTATGGAACATTGAGATGGGGTCTCATAGAGCAGATTCCGCAGTATAAGAGGGATCTGGCATATCTGATACAAAAATGCTTTAAATGTTCAATGTGGAGGGGCGCCTGAGTAGCTCAGCTGGTTAACCATCTGACTTTGGCTCAGGTCAAGATCTCGTGGTTTGTCAGTTCAAACCCCGCGTTGGGCTCTCTGCTGACAACTCAGAGCCTGGAGCCTGCTTCGGATTCTATGTCTTCCTCTCTCTGCCCCTCCCCTGCTCACGCCTCTCTCTCTCTCAAAAAATAAACATTAAAAAATTTTTAATATAAAAATTTTTTTAAAAACCAGACACCTAAACTTACATATTCACATTGACTGTAATGGAAATTTCTTTAAAGTCTCAGTATAAAAAGGCTACCAAAGTGATTCAAATAACATTTTGGAAAAAAAAATCAGCCAATGTTGACTAGTGAGGTAAATTCTAAGGTGAGGAAAAGTAAACTACAATTGCCACTCATGTATTCTTTATCACCACCCTATGGGATATTTTAATTTTGGCCTATGTCATGATGCTTTTTGATACAGATGCCACAAACCCAGAAATGGTCTGATGTGCAAACAGCTGGGACTGAACAGAGTGGGGCTCAGTGACATCTTCTGGGCCCGGACCCTGTCTCAAAGCTCTCATTTCTTCCCAGCTATGAGGACAGATGAGTTCTGACCCAACATGGAGCAACATTCGCTTCTACCTCCATAATGAAGCCAGCTTTGGAAGCTCTCCCAGTGATGTCTGGGAGCTTCTTCCACAGCTCCACCAGGGATTTTCTCGCTGCTGCAGTGACTTGGAAGCTCCCTGTGCAGGGTCTCTCACACAGCAGAAGATATCCTGAGATAGGGACCATTTTCTTCCTGCGTTCAAGCCCCTGAAAAACTCCAGGGCCATCTTCTCTGAGAGGTGACACTGGCTCCTGGCGTGCCACCTCTGTTCCATCAACGTTCCACAAGGTCAGCATCCAATTTCAGGCCCACAAGCCTCTTGTCGCCAGCCCAGCATCAGTGTGCCTGGGGTAGAGGCCAGCACGACTGTGCTGCAAATACAACATTAATGAGAGGAAGAGAAGCGGTCCCATCAAAACTGCAGAGGAAAACTCTTTCCAGTCCAGATAGGCTTTGGTAACTCCAGGCCATCTTCAGCTCTTCCCAGAATTAGTGAGGTCAGCGTACTGAAAAGTCAGCTTATGGCACAAAGCTGAAATATTTCATTCCTTTAAAAGAAGCCAGAATCGTAAAGGCCTTATCTGATAATAAATCTTATAACTAAACCACCATTCCAAAACATAAACAAAATCATTACTTATGCAGGAAGATGATAAGATAAAGGCATTTCTTTTTTATGTTTGGCAGCTGTTAGTTTGTCTTCACTCAGAGGTCTGGAAGGAGTTCTTGTGGTGTCATGTGAGGGGTCAGTTTGGCTGCCCAATGGCTCACGGGGAGAGAGAATCCAAGGCCAGCTCTGCACTGTCAGTGCAGAGCCCAGCACGGGGCTCAAACCCATGAACCGCCAAAGTCAGATGCCTAACTGACTGAGCTGCTCAGGTGCCCCTATTTTTTTTTTTTTAAAGGAAGCTCCATGCCTAATGTGGGGCTTGAACTCAAGACCCTGAGATTTAGAGTTGAATGCTCTACCAACCAAGCCAGCCAGGTGCCCCTGTTTGCTTTTTCTCAAGGCTACATGAAACTTCCACATAGTGGCAGCCCACTCCTTTCAGATGGACCAGTAGAAGGTCCCTGAAAGTGAATAGTATTTCTCTAGTTTGAAGACTATCTTGATAGACAAAGTACTCAAACTGTACTTTGAGCCAGCCACTCAAACTGTAAACTTGCCCACTCCTTTGGTATGCTGTTAGCTCTTAGGAATATATCCTAAATTTTCCAGTGAAACTTGAAAGATCATCCTCTACCAAATGTGGCAGGTTGTATTTTCCAAGGACGTTTGCAATCATGTCTCCTGTATTACACGTTCTACAGTTTGACCTCACTAATATTCCATGAAAAGGTGGAGTCTAAGTCTTCTTTGAATCTGGGCAGGCTTGTGACTGCTTCAACTGACAGAACACGATGGAAGCAATGGTATGTCCTAAGGTAAGATCAGAAAAGAATGATGCATTGGGGTGCCAGGGTGGCTCAGTCAGTTAAGCATCCGACTCTTGGTTTCAGCTCAGGTCATGATCTCATGGTTCATGGGATCAAGCCCAAGTCAGGCTCTGCGCTGACAGTTTGGAGCCTGTTTGGGATTCTCTCTCTCCCTCTCTCTCTGCCCCTCCCCTAATTCACGCACACCATCTCTCTCAAAATAAATAAAACTTAAAAAAAAAAGAAAGAAAGAAAAGGTGATACATCTTCCCTCTTGCTCAATGGGACACTCACGCTTGGAGACCTGAGCCACACATGAGAAGTCTGACTACCTTGAGGCTACTGTGCTGTGAGGAGGCTGAGCCACAAAGAGCCACAGGTTGGTGCTCTAGTTGGCAGTTCTCACCTTTGAATCAGCCCAGCCCAGGTGCCAGCTGTGAGCAAAGGAGCCTTCAGATGATTCTAGCTCTCAGCCATTAAGTCAGCATCCCATCTAAGGTATCATAGAGCAGAGAGAGGTCATCCCCATGATACCCTGCACAAATCCCTGACTCACAGAATCTGGGAGCATCATATGGTGGTTTTAAGTGGCTACATTTGGAGTAATATATTATACCACTACAATAAGTAGAACATCATCTCTCCACCTAACTCTGCCAACATCATCTCTCATTTGTTTTTCAAAAACACATTTCCATGCCTTTTTTAATCTAGGGAGACAGAGCAAACTCCCTTCAACAGCTGCTGGTCAAAATGACATCCATTCCCAAGAACACACTCAGAAGTGCTAACTGAAGGAAATATATGTAGACTCTGTGGGCCTCAGGCCATGGTTGGACACATTTGACTAGAAACTTCTACCTAGTCCAAATAATTGATACTGTCACCACCTGGGACAGCATTGGGATCTTCATTTATGACTTCTATAACCAGCCATGCTAAGTAATAGTCACCTGGCACATCCACTGACCCAAAAAGAAATCATGGTCATTGAGAAAAATCTAGTTTAATACAGAATAGCAAGGGCTAAGGAAGACTGAAAACCCAACACTTAAATAAGGATGTAAACCAGTATGCATATCAGTTACCATAAAAAATCTTTTTAAAGAGAACAGGCCAGGGGCGCCTGGGTGGCTCAGTTGGTTAAGTGTCAGACTTCGGCTCAGGTCGATCTCATGGTTCATGGGTTCGAGCCCCGCATCAGGCTCTGTGCTGACAGCTCAGAGCCTGGAGCCTGTTTCAGATTCTGTGTCTTCCTCTCTCTCTGCCCCTCCCCCACTCATGCTCTGTCTCTCTCTGTCTCAAAAATAAACTACAAAAAAATTTTAAAAAAAAGAGAGAACAGGCGGCCTAGGAGTTTAGGCTTCAGCTGTGCATATGGAATCTAGTCACAAAAGCAAGAAGATTCATGCTTTTATTTTTTTTATTTTTTTTTTAAATTTTTTTTTTTAGGAGAGAGAGAGAGAGAGACAGCGTGAGCAGGGGAGGGTCAGAGAGAGAGGGAGTCACAGGCTGAAACAGGCTCCAGGCTCTGAGCTGGCAGTCAGCACAGAGCCCGACACGGGGCTCGAACCCACGAACAGCGAGATCATGACCAAAGCAAAAGTCGGACGCTTAACCGACTAAGCCACCCAGGCGCCCCGTGGAAGATTCATGCTTTTAAACAGATGGCCACCCTTTCTGCTATTTTGATAGATGGATTGCAAAGAATCGATCCAAACATTTATCTAAAAGAAAATAGCTATTTTGTCCCTGAAATGAATACACTATTGGTCTGCGCAACAGACTACATCCCTGCTATCTTTATTTTCTCCTGACCCAGATATTTCCAAATAGAACTTGGAGACAGGAATGTTAACTTTTATTTGTATTCCATTTATCTTTTTTCAGATTTTAGACATCAAACTTGTTAAAAAATGCTTATGCATTCCCAATAACTTGTGTCCAAATTCAGAGAATTAAAAAGAAACAAACTAAGTAACAGAAAGAGGAACCGATTTTCGATGTAAGAATATTGTTTTGAGGCAGCCAGCTTTGCCCATATATACCTTTACATTGTTCTTCCAAAGCCTCCCCAGAGTACGGACATCTTGTCAAAGTTCTTTTAATTATAAAGGAAACAGTCTTAGGCTTTTGGGATCCTAAAGAGAAGAAAAGGAAGACTTTGATGAACAAAAATTTATTTCTTGTAAGAAACCCCGAACAGCAAGTCACACATTCCTTTTTAAATGTTTTAAATGCGCTTGAAATATCTTTTTTCTTATAAGTCTGCAAGTCTTTTTACCATAAATCTCCTTTGAACTCGAAAAGTAAAAATAGTAATAATTAAATAAATACGTAAAAATGTGTTACTACTAGATAAAGGTCTTATATAGGAAGATTGGTGGGACGATTAGATCTAAGAAAGTGGGAAGAAAATCCTGACATCAGAAAGAGGATAGTAAAACAACAACAACCAACCAACCAAAATCCAAGAAACAAACAAAAAACCTTGGGGGTGATGGAGACGGCCACGATACTATTCTGTTTTATGAAAAAGAAAATGCCTGGACCGGGTTCTAATAAAGCCGAGTTAGCCTGCGGATATTTAAGCAGTTTGGAGATGCTACCCAGCAGGAGTGCCACCGTGAACTGAGACAGCTCATCTGAGACATCTCATTCCCCAAGCCTCGTTGTGTGGGACGTCTCTCCACCAGAGCGTGAGAGGAGGACTCAGGACAAACAAAGCCCTAGACCCAACTAACAACACTTCCTAGCCGATTTCCCACCCCGTTCTTGCATCCCAGCACCGATCCTTCCCTCTACCCGAGCTCTACTCTCCCGCCTGGGCCAGGTCTCAGCTCACACAGGTCTGCCATCCACTCCGAACGCAGCCCCCACCCACCCGCTCGCTAAGCCGGGTACGGCGGGCTCTCTCAGACCTCGGCCCCAGCCGTAGAGACTAGACGTCCGGGTTTGGCACCCCAAGGACCCCACCCTCTGGTCAGCGCGTCCTGGGTGGAGTCACGATCCCCAGACCGTCATCTCGGGATGATTTCCTCGGTCCCTTCCTCGCCTGGTCCCCTCCCTCCCGCGCTGCCAGCCAACCTGAGCTCCGCCTTTTGGGATGACAGTCACGCCTCGACGAAGGGCTCCAGCGTCCGGGACCCGAGCTCCGCTGGGATCGCCCCTGCCACCTGCCTCTCCACCACCTCCACCAGCGCCTGCCCCACTTGACGCCGCCATCCCCGGAGGCCGCACTGGGCGCAATTCCCGCCGCCCATTGGCTGTTACCTAGGCAACCGGGAGCAACGCCACTCTCCATTGGTCCGGCCCGAACTCTGCGCCATCTTTGTGCGGGGCGGAGTGTCTTTGGCTCTCTGGGCAAACATCCGAGAGAGGGGTGGGGCTGAACCCATGATCCCACCTTGGCCACCCTGGTGAAGACCTCAGGTCTTGCCTACCCAGAGACAGCCTAGCCGAAATGTCACACAAAAACAAAACAAAACCTGGGTCAGAAGCAACAGTGACCACCATCTCAAGGGGCCACGATCCTGTGCAGACCTTCAGAGTTATAAATGGCCCCTCCCTGGAATTTAAGGACAGAGCCCAAATCTGGCATTTGAGGTTCAGCTTTGAAAATGGTAACATGCTAGGCTAGGCAACTGCAGTTGAATGAGCGTCAACCTTGTGCCAGCATTATGATATCGGGACACTTCTGCATTCATTCGTTGTTAGGATTTGTGCTGATGTCCTTACTCAGATCTTTTGTGCTTAAAATATAGTGTTGGGGTGGCTGGGTGGCTCAGTCCTTAAGCTCAGACTCTTGATTTCGGCTTCAGGTCAAGAACTCAGATGATGAGATGGAGCCCCTCCTGTGGCTCTGTGCTGAGAGAATCCTGCTTGGGATTCTCTCTCTCTCTCTCTCTCTCTCTCTCTCTCTCCTCCCCCCCTCAAAAAATAAATAAACATTAAAAAAATATATATAGTGTCAAGACTGGAGCAAATCCTCCAAATACCTTGCACGCCAATCCGTTTATCCATGTACAGTATTTACTGAACAAAGTGAGTGCAGCTAAAAAAGACATGATTGTTGCCCTCATGGGACTTACTGCCGCGATGTGGAGAAGAAAAATTAATACACATAGAAAAATTCAAGACTATATTTAATTATTAAAAGAAGGCAAGCTCATGAAGAGAATAAGCAAGCTGCTTCTCTGATTTGGCGGTTTCCTCATCTGTGGAATAGAAAGCGAAAATAATAATAATAATAAAGAGTCCCCAAGACTTGTTTGACAGTTCAGTGTATAAATGCTCAATAAACAACAGTTTTACATTGTTTTAAAAGACTTGGATTCTGTGTTCAAATCCCATGCCTGCCACCAAGTGTGTGGGGCTTCAAACAAGTTATTAAGCTCTCCAGCCTGTAAAATGAGATTGGACTAGCAGGCCTGTAAGATTCGACCAGCTCCTACACTCAATGGTTAAACATGATAAACTGTGTGGTACTGACTATTGATATAACTAGTTGTTGAGAGAATGGAGTGTGAAGAAAATAGATCATGTTAAATTGAAGAATGCATATTGGAAAATTTGATGAGATAAGGATAGATTGTGGTTAAACTATGGAGAAAATTTAGGGGGAAGATATGGCAAAATGTACTGTTTTGAATGGGCAAATTCATAGACACACAAAATAGAATAGAGGTTACTGGGAACTAGAGGAGGAGGGAGTTATTGTTCAATGAATATAGTGTTTTTGTTGGGATGATGAAAAAGTTTTGGGTATAGGCAATGGTGATGCTTACACAATATTGTGAATGTATTTAATGTTACTGAATTGTACACTTGTGAAATGGTTAAAATGACAAATATCATGATTATTTTACTGCAATGAAAATGTCTTCTTTTCGAGAGAGCTCGTGAGCAGGGGAGAGGGGCAGAGGGAAAGAGAGAGAGAGAATCCAAAGCAGGCTCCAAGCTCATCTCAGAGCTTGATTTGGGGCTTGATTTCATGATCCTGGGATCGTGGTCTGAACAGAAATCAAGAATCAGATGCTCAACCGACAGAGCCACCCAGGCATCCCAAAAATGTAGTTTCTTGATCAGAGCAGTGACATAAGGAAACCCGTATTGTTGTTGTTGTTTTTAATCTTTTAGCTCGGTCTCCTCGTTTTTCATGTTTATTTGTTTTTGAGAGAGAGAGAACAGGGGAGGGGCAGAGAGAGAAGGAGACAGAGGATTCAAAGTGCGCTCTGTGCTGACAGCAGAGAATCCTATGCAGGGCTTGAACTCATGTCTTGGCCTGAAGTTGGATGCTTAACCAACTGAGCCACCCAGGAGCCCCGAGGAAACCAGTGTTTTAAGAAGATTAATCTGGTAGTGATACTCAGAGATAATCAGAGAGATTGGAAACAGAGGAACAAACTCATAAGCTATTTTAATAATATAGCTAAGACATCTTGAGAGTCTCGAAAGTAATCTGGTATCAGTGAAAATGGAAATAAAGGGGGTACATATGAGACACAGGCCATAGAGATATTTAATAAGAAGCAATATGGTGTTAGAAGCATTGAGTTGCTGTGCTTGGATTTGGAACCAGCTCTGCCACTTACCAGCTGCATGATCATAGGCAAGTTACTTTACTCAGTTTCTAACATCATAGGAGCTGTAAGGCCAGTTACATGTACTCCAGTTACATCCATGTAATATACAAAAAACAATGTCTGGCACATTCTTAGCATTTGGTGAGTGCTAGCTCTTCGTAGGTAATAGGGAATATATTGATTCCCGCCCTTTTTTTTTTTTTTTTTAAGTAAAAGGAAAATCAAGTTCTGAAAGTTTTCCATAGATAAGACCCAGAATTCAAGGGAGAACTCTAAATCTTGCAGCTTTCCTTGACAATTTGAAGCTTAGGGGCTAAATGAGATCAAGATTACCAAGAGATCATCTCTGTGACTATGACCCCTTGGACACAAGAGGCAAGTACTACTGAATTATTTGATATCTGTATAGGAAAGGGAAATACATGTCTTGTAACTAAAAGGGGAAACTGTATGGACCTTTGCCTAAAATGGTTTGCATGGCAAAAAAACCTTTAAGACATTGTCCTACATACAATTAAATAATAAGTTGTTTTGTATGCTTGAGGGGCTTAATTGATTGAGCATCTGACTCTTGGTTTTAGCTCAGGTCACGATCTCAAGGTTTGTGGGTTGAAGCCCAGCATCAGAGTCTGAGCTGGCAGTGCAGAGCCTGCTTGGGATTCTCTCTCTCTCTACTCTCTCTGCCCCTCCCCCATCTCAAAATAAAGAAACTTAAAAAAACAGAAAAACAAAAACAAACAAAATAAATAACAAATCCATGCCTCTAGTCTGTTGGTTATTCTAAGCACACACACACACAAAAACCAGTATCAACAATAAAAAGGCTACCATTTGTTGAGTATACTAACCACTATGCTGTTTTACATACATTCTCTTAATTCTTTTTTAATTGAGGAAGGGATAATTCCCATTTTACAGGTGAGAAAATAGAGGCTTAAGTGTGCAGATGAGGTTCAAATTCGAATGACTCTATTGTCTCTTTTTCCCCCTCTTCACTCCAGTAACCTAATTACATTATTCCTTTAAGACATAGTTCATAGCACATGGCCCCTTTAAGGCCTTTGCTGACTTTCCAGCCTACTCCAAAATCCTGAACTTCTATTATGGAGTTTTCAGTTTTCATTGTTGGCTCCTTTTCTGCTACTTCAGAGAGCTGTGTGTGTTCAGCTTGATCTTCTCTTTTCCACTACTAAAAATATACTGAGTCCCTATTGTGTCTGGACACTGAGGTTTTACAGTGGTGAATAAAACAGTCATGGACTTTTACCTCATGGAACTTTTTAGTCTAATAAGACCGTATCTTCCTTCAATTAACAAATAAGCATTGAGCATCCGGGCCAGACACTATGTAAATTGCATCAGGGCTGTGATTTTTAAAAACCTTTCTAGGTAGATTAGGTATTTTTCTTTGTTTCATTTTTGTCTCCCTAGCACTTTAGAACATGGTAGGTGCTCAATAAATATTTTATGAATGAGTGCATGATTGAATGAATGCAGATACAAAGACTAGATTTCTCCAGTTTCACAGCTGGTTGGTTCACAGCAGGCACTCAACAAATGACTGATTAGGTAGGCTACTTTATTGAAAGCTCCCCAAAACAGGTCAGCAATTGGAAACTAAGGGCGGGGCTGAGCTGGTGAGAGCAGGGGGCGTGTCTGACCTGGGTCTGGCTCCTGGAGCATGCGCGGTCTTCATCGACGGTGACGGGCGAAAACTGCGGAGGGCGCGATTACGTCGACGTGGTTCTGATTGGCTACCGTTCGCGCGCGAGGGGTCGTGCCAACTCGTCGCCAAGTAAACAGGCTAGGTAGGGGCGGGGCCGGCAAGGCGCCGCGACCTGGTTGGTCAGGCGGGGGTTGGGGGTGTAGCGGATTGGTCCCTGCCGGGGGCTCAGCTGTGTGGAGCGCACCGGGACCCGGAGCCGGCGGTCTGAGGGATGGACGAAACGAGCCCACTGGTGTCCCCCGAGCGGGCCCAACCCCCGGACTACACCTTCCCGTCCTCCTCGGGCGCTCACTTTCCTCAGGTGCCGGGGGGCGCGGTCCGAGTGGCTGCGGCGGCGGCGGCCGGCCCGGCCCCTTCTCCGCCGGGCTCGCCAGGCCACGACCGGGAGCGGCAGCCACTGCTGGATCGCGCTCGGGGCGCGGCGGCCCAGGGCCAGACCCAAACCGTGGCGGCGCAGGCCCAAGCCCTGGCCGCTCAGGCGGCGGCGGCGGCGGCGCACGCCGCGCAGGCCCACCGCGAGCGGAACGAGTTCCCCGAGGACCCCGAGTTCGAGACGGTGGTGCGGCAGGCGGAGCTGGCCATCGAACGCTGCATCTTCCCCGAGCGCATCTACCAGGGCTCCAGCGGAAGCTACTTCGTCAAGGACCCTCAGGGGGTGAGAGCGGGGAGGGGGCTGCCGCCGCTGTCTTCGGGGAGGGTGGGCCTGTCCGGGGGAATTAGCAGCTTCGCACAGCCACGGGGAGAAGGGGGGTTGAAAGGCTGCAAAAGGGAGAAACTTCACAGTGCAGAGCCCCTTGGCAAGATTTTGGAATGCCCCTGAGGACTGGAGATGGAGAAGTTCTGCGGAATGAAGAAATAAATCAGGACCTATTTGGTGGGGGAGGAGTGAGCGGAGAATGAAAAGAGGAAATTGCCCAGATACAGGCGAGGGGCCCAGCGGTGTGGTGGGACAATCGGCTTCTCGACAGAGACGCGCGGGGAGATGCTGCTTTCTAGTAGGTTCCTTAGCTTTAAACTACAGAGACTGCTATTCGGCCATTGTCCTACAGATGTGAGCTTTGGGCCCATTTCCTTCTTTTTGGACCGAACCAGCGTTGTCCATTGTACTACAGATTTGAGCTTTGTGCCCATTTCCTTTTTCTGGACCGAACCAGCGTTGTCGCTGTTCATTGAGGAGGACGGGTGACCCATCAGGGCCTCTGAGGGTTCAGTTCCAGCCTTCTGTGTCGTGGGGATGTCTACCACTGTCCCAGATCTCTTACTGGCAAACGTCGGTGATGAAGTGGGTGGACTTACCAGTTTCATCTGTCTTGATTATTGCTCACTTCTGGGAAATTGTTCCAATTCTTTTTTTATGTCTCCTCAGTAGAGAATGTGGAGTTTTAGAAACACAGGACTACCTGCTACACTTTACTTTCATTTCTCTCCCAGGACTATCAGCAGTTTGCCTTTTAGCTAAGGCACAGTGTTTGCTGACCTTTATTTTGTCCCCTGCATGTATATAAAGGGGAATGGGGAGGGGATGGGTTGGGAAGGGGACATGACCAGGGCAGCTGAGAGGTGACCTTTATTCTTTTGATAGCTGCAGAAGAATTTAAGGCATCTGTATCAAACCAGAGGTATCATTGGAATATCAGTGGGTCAAATAGTGTTAACTTTTCCCTGTTAGAGGTCTTGGATAGGCCAGAACGGTTTATTGGAAAAAATGTATTATTGTTATACTTATTAAAATGATGGTTGTCAAATCTCCTGCAGATTTTTCCTGCATCTCTCCTGTGTGAACTCTTTATATGGGTGGCGTCTGTTCTGATAGGAGTGCGGAGTGGCCAGGAGGGACTGACTTGTAACTCTTGGTTAGGTTCATTTAAAGATCTAGTCATTCTTCCAGATGTTGTCGTCCCAGAATTGTCAAGAACCAGAAAGCAATACTGCCATCAACTCAGTTAACATCAACTGAGTTGGGGAAAAGGTGGGGAAAACTTTGAGAATAGTCTTTACAAGTCCCTCACGTAAGGGAAGCAGTGAGTTAAATTGAAAACTCAAAGGGTAACCATTACTACTGGAAGAAAAGTGGGTCTCCTGAGGTCTAAATGTTAGCACGATGCTTTCATTTTTTATATAAGTGGTTTTTATCTTTTGTTTATTTTTATTATTATTTTTGCTTGTTGGCTGATATAAGAAGGAGCTGATTATCTCTGATAGGTAACTCTGTTACAGTTTGGTTGGAAGTATGTCAGGTCAGCTGAGAAGTGACTTGGTCTTCTGACAGGTGGGAGTAATAAGATCTTTCACTTCTATCTGGCAGGTAAGGTATTACTGCCTCTGTGTATAGGCCACAGAGAATGACAGACTTTGGGTATGTTTCTTCGTGATTTGCAGGATCCCAAGGTGTAAAATTTCCTGACCACTGTCCTTTCTTAGAGAGGAAGGAGGAACACATATGCCCTGCCCAAACTTAATATAACCCTCTTTGTCCCATTGAGCAAAATGTGGTTCAGAGCAGAAGACCACTTCCTAAATGCTGTGGTGGGTTAGGTTAGGGACCACAGACTCACTGTAGTTGTTTGTGTGAATTTTGGCCCTGTTCCAAACGAGTTTATTTATTTTATTTAACAAATACATAGATAGCACTTACTATATGCTAGGTACTATTTTAAGTGCTTTACAAATAATAATTCACTTAGTGCTTACAACACTTTTGGAGGTAGGTACTATTATTATCCCCACAGATGACACTGAGACACCCAGTGTAACTAATTTGCTTAGGGTCTTAACAGCTAGTGAGTGGGAGGCAGGATTCAGGCCCACTGACTCCAGAATTCATTCTCCTAACCACTATGCTGTGCTGCCTGAAAGTTAGTCATCTGAATTTTTGGTTTCTCTTTTTGTCTCCCATATTGGTTAGGATTAAATTGGGTTATGTGTGACAAAATTGAAAACAAAAATGACTTGAGTAAAAGTACATTTAACTCTCCTAGAAGAAGTCTATAGGCTGCTTAGGGCTGGCATGGCAATATGAACAGTATGCCTCCTCCTGTCCAGCTGATGGGCTGTCCGTAGAGTGTGGCTTCCACTGCATGATCCAAGATGGCTACTCAGACTGCAGACATCTTGTCTGTTTTTCAGCCAGTTGGAAGAAGGAAAGGAAGCGGGAGAGTATGCCCTCTTCCTTTAAGACGTTTCCTAGAAGTTGCACCAGACTCTTTACATCCCGTTGTCCGAACTTAACTGCAGTAGTGGCTGGAAAGTATACTCTTCTATTTTGCCCTAAAAACCAGAAGTCCTGTGTCCAAGGAAGAAGGGGGGACAGAGTGTGGGGAAACCAGCTGTTTCTGCCATAGCTGCTTTTGGAGCTAGAGAGGCTAGAAGGTTCTTGAAGACAATAACCCTGATTCCGTTTCCCAGTTTAGGGTGATTTCTCCCTCAGGGCGAGCAAATGGGGACCTAGAACAGTAAGATGGAAAAGGCTAGATCAGAAGGCATGATAGAGAGTGCTTCTATTACCCTCCTCACTTGTATCCTTGTACTTCTGGTCTTATGCTCAGTCACCTATGAAAATATTTTTTGAGCAGTTTTTATTTGTGAGGCTAGTAATATTAGATGTTCACATTCCAAGAATCATAGAATAGCATGTGATTCACTGGTTTACTAAGAAGATTACATGCAATGTCCCACATGAAAGCCCCTGGCGTGGTTCCTGTTGCTTAGCAGGAGTTCAGAGGGTTTTGGTTTTTATTAAGCTGTATGCCCACTGACCTGTGGATTTGGCTTTCTTGGATACATGGCATCGAATAAAGCAAAAGTAGTATAATTTTGAGATGATTTCCTGACCACTGAGATTAGTAATTTATTAGATAGTGCTAATTGGTATTTGCCTCAGAATTTTACATATACTGCTCGCATGTGCTAGGAACTAGGCCTTGTATCAGTAATTTTCAATCTTTCAAACAGACTTACCCACCAAGACTTTGTCATGAAAATGGTACAGGTTTTTTTTTTTTTTCATTTTTCAAATATAAAATTTTGTTATAATATTGAATCCAACTACCTGTGCCTCCCAAGAAATTCTGATGTCCTTACATATGGTTGGGAGTAACACCAATAGCCCAAAAAAGAATAAAGATCTCAAACAGAATTATTATTTTTTACCTAACCGTTAAGAGGCAGTCAAGTTTGTATGTCATATTTAGATGTAGTTCCTGAAAAAAATTTTTTTAAAAAATATTTTTATTTATTTCTAGGAGAGAGAGAGAGAGAGACAACGTGAGCAGGGGAGGGTCAGAGAGAGAGGGAGTCACAGACTGAAACAGGCTTCAGACTCTGAGCTGGCAGTCAGCACAGAGCCCGACGCGGGGCTCGAACCCATGAACCGCGAGATCATGACCTAAGCGAAAGTCAGACGCTTAACCGACTAAGCCACCCAGGCACCCCCAAAAATTTTTTAATGTTTATTTTTGAGGGAGAGAAAGAGAGACAGAACAGAGAGAGAGAGAGAGACGGAGATGCAGAATCCGAAGCAGGCTCTAGGCTCTGAGCGACATGGGGCTTGAACTCACGAACCATGAGATCATGACCTGGACACTCAACTGACTGAGCCACCCAGGCAGCCCTGAGATTTTTAAGCACCATTATGGTCTGTTCTAGGGACCTGTCCCAGACCACAAGGTGTAATGGATGAGGCAGGTTGGGTCAATGGCCATGGACAGGAGGATAAATACAGGCTAACCCTCTTCTATTTCGTTCTCTTTGGATCCCATCTTCTTTCAGGGTCTCATACACTGGAGTAGCCAATGTTTCTGAGAGTTAACATGTAAATAGGGCCTCTTTGCCTAAACAGCCAAGTCAAGCAGTGCTGTTTCTATCCAACTGCTAATACACAATGCAGCAGTTCTCAGAGGGCAGCTGAAGGACCTATGGGAATCTTTTTAAAGGCCCACAGGCCAAAATTATTTTTAATACAATTTTAAGACTATTTGCCATTTTCATTCTCACTTCCTAATAAGTTTACAGTGGAGATTTCCAGAGGCTACATGATGTGTGATATTGAAACAGACTGAATATTAAGGAAGGTATGAGAATACAGTTGCCATTTATAGGCCAGACACTAGAGAGATTTGCAAAAATGTAAAACAGTGCCTGCCTTCTTACTAAAAATTGTTCTAAAAATAGTTATTATTCATAAAAACATATCACTTATGTTAACATGTAATAGATCTAGTTTTATTATTAAGTGAATTAACAGTCATACATTTTGATTTTAATTTCTAATACAGCAAATGTAGATTTTACATTTGGGGGTCTTTAATAATTTTTAAGAGTTTAAAGGGATCTTGAGACCAGAATATTTGAGAACCATCAGCTTCATGTTTTTTTACCAAATTAAACAAAAAACTTTTTATTAAAAGTTATGTCTGTCTGTTTCACTGTGCAACATGAGTGATGTGCGTTAAACTATCTTAAATGTTAGCATAGATAATAACCTCCTCTTTAGGGCTGCTGGATAGGCAGGAGAAGCCCTTTGAGTTCCAGGTCTGTCAGTAGTTGGTTGCGGGTGCTGACACTAGCTGGTGAGTGGCCTTTTCCTGTACAGTTCTGTTTTTATCCCCAGCTTCACTGACTGCTGTTACCTAAATGACCTGTACCTCACCCTCTTCATTAAAGGAGTGTTAGTAAGGAGTTGTTAAGGAAAGTCTTTTTTAAAAGATGGGCATCGGGGGTGCCCAGGTGGCTCAGTCGGTTAAGCTTCTGACTTCTGCTCAGGTCATGATCTTCCAGTTCCCGAATTCTAGCCCCATGTTGGGCTCTGTGCTGACAGCTCAGAGCCTGGAGCCTGCTTCAAATTCTGTGTCTCCCTCTCTTTCTGCCCTTCCCCTGCTAGTTCTCGCTCTCTCTCAAAAACAAATAAAACATTAAAAAGAATAGATTGGCACCAGCGGTGCCTGTGTGGCTGAGTTGGTTGAGAATCCCCAACTCTTGATTTTGGCTCAGGTCATGATCCCAGGGTCAGGGGCTTGACCCCTGTATCAGGCTCTATGCTAAACATGGATCCTTTTTTTTTTTTTTTTTTAATGTTTTATTTATTTATGAGAGAGAGAGACATAGCATGAACAGGGGAGGGTCAGAGAGAGAGGGAGACACAGAATCTGAAACAGGCTCCAGGCTCTGAGCTAGCTGTCAGCACAGAGCCCGATGCAGGGCTCCAACCCATGAACCTTGAGATCATGACCTGAGCCGAAGTCGGACGCTTAACCAACTGAGCCATCCAGGCGCCTCATAAACGTGGATCTTGCTTAAGAGTCTCTCTCTCTCCCTCTCTCTCCCCCCCCTTCCCCACCTCTGCCCCCTCTTCTCTCTTTCTCTCTCTCTGTCTCTTAAAATAAAATTTAAATCAAACCAAAGCTTACTACTAAATGTAATAAAGGAATTGAAAGTATAGTAGGGAAGAGAGAAAGAAGACAGAAAAATCAGGCAGTAGTCACTTTCCTCCTCAACCAAATAATGATGGGTGTCTTTCTAATTTGAGTGGTTCTAGAGTTTGTTTTCTGTGAAGTAGGAGAATATCCTTGAGTATTCAGAAACACAGTTGAAAATGTGAAGTTCACATTAGCTTTGGAAATTAGGCCCAAGGGTGTTATGTATCATTTGGCAAGCCTGCAGTACTCACACAAATGAGGTACTGAGCAAACGTTAACAGAATCGAATTGAACTGAGGCCACACTTTGTCCTGAAAGGCACTTGTCTTCCTTTCTGCCTGATGTCCGTCTGCTCCTCCATCCTTCCCACCCACCATTCTTCTGTTTATCCAGTCCACACATCATCATTTAATGAAACCTGTGTGATACTGAGATAATGATGATTACTAATGCTTTTAGAGTTGTTGAAATACTTTCTGATTCTCCTTATGTTGAAAGGAAATAGAGAAGTTTGAGAGGTTAGTCTATAATGATGCTTTGGGTGCAATTTTGGCCTTGAGTTCTGCTTTCCTTTTTTTTTTTTTTAACTTACATTTTTCCTTTATTTTTTTATTTTTGAGAGAGAAGGAGTGTGTGTGTGTGTGTGCGGGGGAGGGGCAGAAAGAGGGGAATGGCAGATCTGAAGTGGGCTCTGCACTGACAGCAGCAAGCCTGATGCAGGGCTCAAACTCATGAACCTTAAGATCGTGACTTGAAGTCAGACGCCCAACTGAATGAGCCACCCAGGTGTCCCAGAGTTCTGCTTTCTTTAATGGAAGTATTTAAGCCTCAGTCTTGGTAGTTGAAAAATACTAATAGAAGGAATGTCTCAGTCTTCTTCCACTGGAGACCGGCTTGCTGAACTCCACATTGTACCTCAGTTGAACTGACTGTTGCATTGTAGGGCATGCCTCAACTCGTCCTGTGGTTTTACTGCCCAATTCCAGAGAGTGACAATGGACTCATGCTGTGAGGTTCCAAGCCCAGGGTTCCAGGGATTCAGAGACAGGAAGATTGCACACTTAGGCCTTTTGCTAGCCATTTTGGATAAGAATGCAATTCTGAAGACTTAAGATATGAATATATGTACTTGACTTTTCCCAGGGAATATGTAAAGGTTTTTTGGGGGGTTTAAATTGATTTCCTTTAGAGGGAGGAGAGTTCTGTGTTTTTCTTGCCCTGTTAAATTCTTGCAAGGCTTCTCGAAAGAACTAGCCTCCAGATGGACCAATTATTGTTGGAGACATGCACCTAGCCAGTTCCTAATAGGAGTACATACTTAATGCAGGCAGATGGGTGTATGTTTTCTGCTGTGACCTGCCTGTCAGGAAGTGACACCCACAGGAAAATGTCTTATGACCCAGACTAGCTTGAGTTGGCAGTGGGGTGAGGGGAGAGGGGGAGTCATATGATATGAAGATGAATCACTGGGACAGCATATTTGCTTTTCTTCTTCTTCATATTTACCAGTTTGAGGACTGGAGGGAATAAGATAAATGTGAAATAACCTTGGAGGGCTGCCTGGCCTGGGGAAGAAAGCCTCATGGGGGAGGCCCAGAGTGTCTAGAATGCAGCAGCATCCAATATTTGGCAAGGACCTCTGAGGACCAAGTTACCACTTGGAAGAGAAGGTGGATTTTAATCTTTGGGGGCTCTCATGTCCTGATCTATTGCCTGTCAGAGTAACTTTAAAGAACCCCATTCTAACCAGGTAGCAGATTCTTTTTTCTGCTGTGATTTTTCCCTTCCATTGCTTTCTTAGTTTGTCCTTCCGAGACTTTTTAAGGTTTTGTTAATACCCTGGGAGTGGAATGGTAAGGCTGCTAGAGGAAATTGGCTGTTGATGAAGGAGTTCTCTTCATCTCATTTCGTAATACTTTACTACTTTCCTCTCAGCTAGGTTATCACCTTATTGATGCAGAGCAGCAGTTTGTACGAATGTACCTTGGAAGTTGGGGTTTGATGGTGTTGAAGTCTCTTTTACCACATATACTAGACTTGGCATCTCCTTGGCCACAGCCCTTTCTGGCAGGGGTCTCTTAGCAGCACACATGAGCTGTCTCTTCCCCTTACAAGCTGGGGAGAAGCCAGTGTCTGTCTATAGGGATTATCTTCCTGTGCCTTCTCATTTCTTTCTAGAGTCTTGCTGACCTGGTCTGTGAGCTACTTTAATCAGTTGCCTTTAACATCCTATTTTTCTTTTCTCTGCGTAGAAGATCATTGCTGTTTTCAAACCTAAGAATGAAGAGCCATATGGGCACCTTAATCCTAAGTGGACCAAGTGGCTACAGAAGCTCTGCTGTCCCTGCTGCTTCGGCCGTGACTGCCTTGTCCTCAACCAGGGCTATCTGTCAGAGGCAGGGGCCAGTCTGGTGGACCAAAAGCTGGAACTCAACATTGTACCCCGTACAAAGGTCAGTGACCTGTCTCCAGGGAGCCTTACGGCCTATCCAGAGATTTCCTGGGCCTAAGTCCTGCTACATGTTAATGGGGCCGTTAGGTCCAGGGAGGGCTGTTTATGTCCTTAGTCTAGGGTTGTCAGCCTTTTGTGGGGCGGCGGGGGGGAGGAGGGAGGAAGAGGTAGTAGATTTAGGCTCATGAATTGATCATCTGATGGAAGCTATCCTGAGAAGGATACACATAAAATTTTTGCATACAATGTCAGGAAATTCACTGACCTTTTTATGCATACTTACAGGTTCCCTGGGTCTTTCAATCCCAGGTAACTGTAAGCTGGTTAGAAACCTAGCTACTTTAAAGCTCATTCTTTTAGATTTCTGAGCTATCCCATGATAGAGATGGTCTGGAATGGACTAGGTGATGTCAGTTAATCACTTATACAAGATCTAGCAAGAAGGAATCTCGGATGGGCTGAGAGTTAAAGTCTGGCTTGAACTTGTGCAGGGAACTGACCTGGAATTCTCATCCATCTTTATGTTCTGGAATTCTGGTACTTAGCTGAACATAATAAAATCAGGGTCCCAGATCCAGGCAAATCCACACTTAGAATGGATTTGCGCATACCCTACATGTGTTATAGACTTAGCCGAGGTTCTAATGAAGGTCCTGTACCATTATTCCCCACCCCCCTCCAGTATGCTGAAATACAGAATTGTTTGCATACATTTTCAGGGCGTTTACTGATGCCAGGCTAAGAGTCTCTCTACTACAGGGTTTTATCTGAAACTTTCCAAGGGTTATGAGGGGAAGGAATCTGCTGGTCAGCATATGAACGTTCAAGGACACATCATCACCCATTTAGTATGTGGCTCCCTCAGGTTTAGTAACAAGGTGGAGCGCTGATCTGATGCACTAAGGCTGCAGGAGCATCTTTGTAGCTCTGATCCTTAATCCTCTGAAAATCTGATAAAAGCTATACATCTTGTTCCCAGAAAAAAAAAATGTATTTGCAATTGTTGTTTGCATAAAATTTCAGAGGATTGGTTCATGGACCAGTTGGAGTCTACTCATTGACCTTGTAAGGACCATGCCTCTAGTGTAAAACCCCCTGCTTGAGGTTTTCTTTGCAAGTTTAGATAGGTTCTGATTCAGTGCCTGGCCTTGCACAGCTCTGTGGGCAGAGACTGATCAACAGGTAGGAGCTTCCCTTCAAGCCTGTTTTCTTCTGTTTCCCCAGGGTGTTTCAGAAGAAATTGTGATTGTTGTAGTTGTTTTATTGTGTTTGCTCCTTTGCCACCGAACTCCAAACAATAAGCTGACTGGTTTGTAAGTTTGTAGACGTCAGGGACCATTTCTTAAAATTTCCTTATTCTCAGCACCTAGCAATGTGCTGTTTTTATGAGAAGTATTCCATTAGTGCCAGTTGAATCAGTAAGGGTGTGTCGAACCATGAGGGACAATCCTAGGGATCCCCCCAACCCAGGTCTGTGGGGAGAGTGTCTGCTTGTAGCTCCCACTGACATCTGATTCAGTACCTGGCCTTGCACAGCTCATTCCTTCCCTTTAGCTTTAGTCCTCTCTGTACACAGAGTTATATAGCATACTTTGAACATCTTGTATGATAATTAATGCTTTAAAGATCTCCTGCCTAACCTGCATTCCTCCTACTAGGCCCCTCCTAGACTCTAGAAATTCTTTTAACTATTCCTTGCTCATCACTGTCATTCCCTTTCTTTACTAGGTGAATGGTAGTCAGCGTCTAGCCATGGGCCCGCTCTGCCTGTGCTTTGGGAATGCAGTGCCCAAGAATCAGAGGCGGAGGCCACATTCTGGCTCTGCAGCTTGTTATTGGGTGACCTTGGCAAGTCACTGAAAACACCCCCATACTCTCTGCCTGCTCAGTTTCCTTACTATAAAAATAGGAATATAAATAGTTCCTACTTTATGGGGTAACTATTAAGATTATAGAGGATAATCCATGTAAAACACATAGCCTAGTGCCTTTGCACAATGTAAAGACTCCATACATCCTAGTCTGTAGTATTATGTCAGTGCTGATCATAATAGAATGTCACCCCCCAAAATCCCGTTCTTCTCTATCTCTGGTCTTCCTCTGTCCCTAGTAGAGAATTTTGATGTGGCTTGAGGATCTTTTGCATCAAAAAGTCAGCACCAACAAAAATACTTGTCTTCCATGAGATTGAGATGAGATAGAACTTTGCAAGTTTAACAAAGAGCTGCTAAAGAATAATGAGAGAAAGTCTCTCCCTTCCTAGCCTACCCACCCTTGTGACAAGATTCTATCCAGTTGATTAGAGCATCTGTCACTATGGAAACAGGGCTCATGTTGTGATGGAGCTTCGAATTGTAAGGCTCTAGTTTTCATTTGGTAGCCGTCTCTGCTCTGTGTTCCTGTGTGGTTTCGGGTTATGATGATTTTGTTAATCATAGGGAAAATGTGGATTGTTACAGAGAGTGATAGAAAATAAATCTGATTGGGGGGGTGGGGGAAGGATGGTTTATCATGTGAGAAACCAAGGGTTTTCACTGTGGAAACTGGCAAGGTAGTCCTAGGAAAGGCTTTTCCCCCCTTGATTCCAATGCATGTGTTTTCTCGCCAGAGAGTGCCAACTAACAGGAACTTGCACATCCATTTTAGATGCTCCATTAACACTGGATGGATAGATAAGGAGGGAAGGAATGATTTTGTCCCTAAGATTTATAGGCACAATAATTATTTGTAAGGAGTTTTGCAAGGCTTAGGAAAATAAATAGTTTTCTTTTAAATTTAATTTTATTTAATTTAGGTATTTATATGCTGAAAGTCATTTGTTGCTATCTCCAAGAGAAGCTTGTAACTCATTCATGCACTCATTTAATAAATATTTAGGGGTGCCTGGGTGGCTCAGTCGGTTAAGCGTCTGACTTCAGCTCAGGTCATGATCTCAGGGTTTGTGGGTTTCGAGTCCTGCGTCGGGCTCTGTGCTGATGGCTGGCTCAGAGCCTGGAGCCTGCTTCGGATTCTGTGTTTTCCTCTCTCTCTGACCCTCCCCTGTTCACGCTGTCTCTCTCTCTCATAAATAAAACATTAAAAATTTTTTTAAATATTTAATGAGTATGTACCAGGCACTGTGTTAGGTACTGAGAGTGCTAATGTGAATAACATAATCTCTTCTTCCCCAAATCTCTTTAATCTTAAGAGTGGGTTAGATAAATGAATGGATAACCACAAGACAGTGTGATAAAGGGTGATAATGGACATACATTTGAATTATAGTGATACTACTATAGTTTGACAATCAAGTGTAATATCTTTTTTTTGTTTGTTTCATGTTTATTTTTGAGGAGGGTTGGAGGGAGGGTCAGAGGGTCAGGGAGACACAGAATCTGAAGCAGGCTCTGCACTATCAGCTCAGAGCCTGATGAGGGGCTGGAACTCACGAACTGTGAGATCATGAACCGAGCTGAAGTTGGATGCTTACCGACTGAGCCATCCAGGCATCCCCACAATCAAGTGTAACATTGATGGCCCATTAAATTTTTTTTTTTGAATAGGCAATGCATGCATCTAGTGTAGAGATCAGAAGGCACAGTAGGGTCAACAGAAAAGAGTAGTTCAGCCTCTTTCCCAACTCTGTCTTCCAGCCCCTGTGTTTCCTTCCTTGGAGACAGCTGTTAGTACTAGTTTCTTGTATTATATTCCAGATACAGTCTGCATAAATATGTGTATATGTAACAATCACTAAAAATTAAAACCAATTTTCTTTTTTCTTTCTTTCTTTCTTTCTTTCTTTCTTTCTTTCTTTCTTTCTTTCTTTCTTTCTTTCTAATCTATCTATCTATCTATCTATCTATCTATCTATCTATCTATCTATCTATCTAAAGTAGGCTCTATGCCCAGTGTGGAGCCCAACACAGGGCCTGAACTCATGACCCTGAGATTAAGACCTGAGCTGAGATGAAGAGTCAGACGCTTAACCTGCTAAGCCATCCAAGCGCCCCTAATGTTTATTTTTTAAATGTGAATAATTGCACAGAGCACAAAATTCAAAAGGAAATAAAAGGGTATGGAGTAAATTACAACTTGGTTTTACGTGGAGAGAAATTACGTGTTGGGCCCTCTTCTCCTAACCCAGGTAGTGGCTGTATTATTAGTCAGGAGAATTCATGCTATAAAAACCTTGGATCTCATTGGTTTAATGGATCCTGCTCACAAGAGATCTAACATCCTTCCATGATGTGATTTTGCCATCTCAGAGCCCTTCATTTCCAGCTGCACAGATAGGTGAGTATGAACTAAGGATCATGGGAGGTTTTAGGGGCCAGCCCTGCAGGTGATGTACATACAGCACTTTGTCAACATTCCATTGGTATGAACTAGTCCTTAGAAAGTCTGAGAAGTGCATTCTTTCTGCAGGCCCTGGGAGAGGAGCGGTACTGGAGAGTGTCCAGCTATCAACTGCCATAATGGTATAGTTCTTATACTCGATTGTAACCTAGATGTCTCTTCTCTTTCCACTGTAGGTAGTATATCTGGCCAGCGATACCTTCAACTATAGTGCCATTGACCGAGTGAAGTCCAGGGGCAAGCGGCTTGCACTAGAGAAAGTGCCAAAAGTTGGGCAGCGGTTTAATCGCATTGGACTACCGCCAAAGGTATAAACTGCACCTGTGTGGCTTAGTAAAGGGGATGGTTTATGGTGGAATAACTATCCAGGTGGTGAAACAAGGCACCTGGAGACTTGCATGTAGACCCATGAATAGCCTGCCCTGAGGCTTCTGTCTTCCTCATTTTTGAGGCCCCAGGGTTTGGGGAATAATTCTCCAGAGAACAGAGCTCTTAACTTCTCACTTTACTCCTCCGGCCCATTTAGATAGGCTTCTTGAATTTGGATTGGGCAAGCACTCTCATGACCTTTTTCTGATATAAACACAGTGCCTTATGGGCCACCTGGCTTACTCCTGGGCTCCTGGGACTTGAGCTACAGGGAAATCCCTTTATTCTTCCTCTTTGGCTCCAGGTTGGTTCATTCCAGCTCTTTGTTGAAGGCTACAAAGACGCAGACTACTGGCTCCGGCGTTTTGAAGCAGAACCTCTCCCTGAGAACACGAATCGGCAACTACTGCTGCAGTTTGAGCGGTTGGTGGTGCTGGACTACATCATCCGCAACACTGGTGAGCAGCTGCAGGCCGTCTCGCTGTGCTAGCTGGCTGGGAGGTGCCGGGAGGCACCTGGAGGCCTGCCGAGCTGATACCAGAGGGCCGTCTCAGGATGAGGTTTGTCTGAGTCAGAAGGGCCTCGAAAATACTTTGCCAAGACAAGCTTTGTCCAGGTACATCTGTGCAGTTATCAGAGGTAGTGAGTCCTGGAGCTGGTAGTACATTTTATCTTAGCCTCTTTCCCAGTTCCAGACTGAAGACACATTGGCTCTTCCAAGGCAACATCGAGAGTACTTTTGTCCTTGATCCCTAGTCACTCAGAGTAGCAAGACCTATCACAGGACAGTTTTGTCTTTAAGTACCTCATAGGAGTAGGCTCATACAGTATTTGTCATTTTGTGGCTGGCTTATTTCACTTAGCATATGCCCCTAAGGTCCATTCATCTTGCAGCATATGTCAGAATTTCTTTTCTTTTTAAGGCTGAATAATATTGCATTTTATGTATGTACCATATACCGTACTTTGCTTATCCGTCCATTGATGGACACTTGGGCTGCCTCCACGTTTTGGCTATTGTGAATGATGCTGCTATGAACATGGGTTCAAAAATATCTTTGAGACACTACTTTCAGTTATTTTATATATATACCCAGAAGTGGAATTACTGGATCGTATGGCAGTCTTTAATTTTTCTTCTTTTTTTTTTTTTTTTTTTGAGAGAGCACACATGTGCAAGAGGGGAAGAGGTAGAGGAAGAGAGAGAATGTTAAGAAGGCTTCATGCCCAGCTCAGAGCCTGACACAGGGTTCGATCTCATGACTGAGATCATGACCTGAGCTAAAATCAAGAGTCAGATGCTCAACCAATTGAGTCACCCAAGTACCCCTGTTTAATTTTTTTTTTTTTAATTGAAGTATAGGGACCTATGTTTAGTCTTGAGAAACTGCCATACTGTTTTCCATAGCAGTGCACTATTTTACATTCCCCCAAGTGGTGCACAAGGATTCCAATTTCTCTACCTCTTCATCACCTTGTTATTTTCTGGAGTTTGTTTCCTTTTGTCTTTTGTTTTTATTTTTATTTTTATCTAAAAAAATTTTTTTTAATGTTCATTTTGAGAGACAGAGCATGAGCAGGGGAAGGGCAGAGAGAGAGGGAGACACAGAATCCGAAGCAGGCTTCAGGCTCTAAGCTGTCAGCACAGAGCCTGATGTGGGGCTCCAACCCACGAACAGTGAGATCATGACCTGAGCCGAAGTCAGCCTCTTAACTGACTGAGCCACGTAAGCACCACTCCTTTTGTTTTTAGATCACAATCATCCTAATAGGTATAAGGTTACATATCATTGTAGTTTTGATTCCCATTTCCTGATGATTAGTGATGTTGTGAACATCTTTTTATGTACTTTTTGGCCATTTGCATATTTTTGGAGAAATATCTATTCAAGTCCTTTACCCATCTTAGGTTCTTGTTGAGTTGTAGGAATTCTTTATCTATTCTGGATATTAATTCCTTATCAAATACATGACTTGCAGATATTTCCTCAAGTTTATTTATTTTGAGAGAGAGAGGGAGAGAGCACAGGTGGGGAAGGGACAGAGAGAGAGGGAGAGATAGAGAATCCCAAGCAGGCTCTCTGCTGTCAGTGCAGAGTCCAACTCAGGGCTCAGTTTCACGAGCCGTAAGATCATGACCTGAGTGGAGATCAAGAGTCAGACACTTAATCAACTGAGCCAGCTTAATGAAATGAATTATAAAGTTTTTATGAAGTCCAGTTTGTCTGTTTTTCAAATTTTTAACTGTGCCTTTGGTGTCATATGTAAAAAATTATTGCCAAATCTACTGCCATGAAGCTTTTGTCCTATGTTTTTGTCTTAAGAATTTTATAGTTTTTGGTCTTAGATTTACGTCATGGCTCAATTTTGAGTTAATTTTTTGAAAATGGTGTGAGGTAAGGATCTAACTTTATTTTCTGTATGTGAGTATTCAGTTTTCCCAGCACCATTTGTTGAAAAGACTGTCTTTTCCCCGCTGAAGGGTCCTGTCACCCTTGTTGAAAACCATTTGAGGGGCGCCTGGGTGGCTCAGTCGGTTAAGCGTCCGACTTTGGCTCAGGTCATGATCTCACGGTCCATGGTTTCGAGCCCCGCATTGGGCTCTGTGTGGACAGCTCAGAGCCCGGAGCCTGTTTCAGATTCTGTGTCTCCCTCTCTCTTTGCCCCTACCCAGCTTGTGCTCTGTCTCTCTCTCTCTCAAAAATAAATAAACAAACAAAAAATTAAAATTAAAAAAAAAACCCATTTGATCATATATGCAAAGGTTTATGTCTAGACTCTATTGTATTACATTTATCTACATGTTTGTCTTTATGCTAGTACCACACTATTTTTTGGTTACTATAGCTTTGTAGTAAGTTTTGTAGTAAATACAGTTTACAGTAAGTTTGAAAGTTTTAGAGGAAGTATGAGATTTTGGCTTTGTTTGTTCTTCTCTTTCTGGATTGTTTTGTCTATTTGGGATCCCTTGAGATTCCATATGAGTTTTAGGATGAATTTTTCTATTTCTGCAAAAAACCATCATTGGGATTCTGGTAGTAACCGCATTAGATTTCTAGACTGCTTTGCATAGTATTGACATCTTAACAATATTGAGTCTTCCAGTCTATGAACATGGGGTGTCTTTCCATTTATTTATGTCTTCTTTAATTTCTTTCAGCAGTGTTTTGTAGTTCTGTTTTCCGTGGGTTTTTTTGAGAGAGGGGCAGAGGGAGGGAGACAGGATCCCAAGCAGGCCCCGTGCTGCCAGTGCAGAGCCTGATGCAGGGCTTGTACCCATGAACCATGAGATCATGACCTGAGCTGAAAGTCAAGAGTGAGCTAGCTACCCAGGTGCCCCTTGTAGTTTTTATTATACAAGTCTTTCACCTCCTTGGTTAAATTAATTCTTAAGTATTTTATTCTTTTTGGTGCTAAGTGGAGTTGTTTTCTTAATTTGCTTTTTTGGGTTGTTCATTGTTAGTAAATAGAACTGCAAATGATTTTTGTGTGTTGAGTTTGTATTCCGATACTTTGCTGAGTTTATTTATTCTGACACTTTTGTGTGTGGCATCTTTAGACTTTTCTACATATAAAATCATATCATCTGCGGGGTGTCTGGGTGGCTCAGTCGGTTAAGTGTCCAACGTCAGCTCAGGTCATGATCTCACGGTTTGTGGGTTCGAGCCCCGCATTGGTCTCTGTGATGACAGCTAGCTCAGATTCTGTGTCTCCCTTTCTCTCTGACCCTCCCCTGCTCACACTGTCTCTTTCTCAAGCTCAGAAATAAATAAAACATTAGAAAAAAATCATATCATCTGCAAACAGGGATAATTTTACCTCTTTCTTTCAAATGTGGGTGCCTTTTATTTCTTTTTCTTGCATAATTGCTGTGGTCTTCCAGTACTGTATTGAACAGAAATGTTGAAAGTGGGCATCCTTGCCTTGTTCTAGATCTTAGAGAAAAAGCTTTTAGTCTTTCACCGTTGAGTATGATGTTTGCTGTGGGCTTTTCATTTATGACTTACATTATATTGAGGTAGTTTCCTTCTATTCCAGTTTAAGTGTTTTTATCATGAAAAGATGTTGAATTTTTTGTCAAATGCTTTTTCTGGATCAATTGAGATGATCATGTGTGGTTTTTTTCCCTTCATTTATTAATGTGGTATATCACACTGAACAGTTTTCATATATTGAGCCATATTTACTTTCCAGCAATAAAACTCAGCCATGGTTTAGTCGTTTTAATATACTGCTGATTTCAATTTGCTAGAATTCTGTTGAGGACTTTTGCATCAGTATTTGTAAGGGATATTGGTCTGTAGTTTTCTTGTAGTATCTATGTTGGGTGTTGGTATCAAGGTAAGGCTGGTCTCCATAGAATGAGGTTAGAATGTTCCCTCCTCTTCAAATTTTTGAGGAGTTTGAGGAGAATTGGAGTTATTTCTTCTTTAAGCATTTGGTAGAATTCACCAGTGAAGCCATAAGGTCCAGGGCTTTTGTTTGTCAGGAGACTTTGGCTACAGATTCAGTCACCTTACTGGTTATAGGTCTATTCAGATATTCTATTTCTGCATGGTATAGTCTTGGTAGATTTTGTGTTTCTAGGAATTTGTCCATTTCATGTAAGTTTTCCAGTTTGTTGACATACAATTTCCTATAGTACTCTCTCTCTCTTTTTAATTTAGAAAGAGCACAATGGGGAAGGGTAGAGGGAGAGGGAGAGAATCTTAAGCAGGCTTCACGCCCAATGCAGACTCCTATGTGGGACTCAACCTCACAACCTTGAGATCATGACCTGAGCTGAAATCAAGAGTCCGATATTTAACTGACTAACCAGAGGCCCCTATTATTGTACTTACTTAAAACCCTTTTTATTTTGGTAGAATTGGTAGTAACGTCCCTACTTTTGTTTCTGATTTTAGCAATTTCAGTCTTCTATTTTTTCTTAATCTAAATAGCTAAAAGTTTATCAATTTTATTCATCCAGTGAAACAGTTGTTATATTTTAGTTTTAGAACATTTAATATATTTATGTATAATGTACATATAGATGAAAACTTACCATCTTATTTGCTTTTTATGTTTGTGCCTATCTTTTTTTCCCTCCCCTTCTTCCTATGATCTTGTTTTCCTCTTCTTCCTTGCTTTCTTTTATTTTGTACTTATTTCATTTCTCCCTTCTTTTAGCTCAGAAGCTATATATTCTTTTTCTGGTTTTTTTTTTTTGTGATTACTCTAAAGATTACAATGTGAATCCTTGATTTCTCAAAATCTAATATTACATATCTCTAGACTTTTATACTATTAATGTCATATGTTTTAATCATGTATGCATACATATGTATATGTGTCTGTATATATGTGCATATATAAAACCACATTTCTATAAACTATTAAGATGGTATTACCACTATTATTACTGTTATTAATATAATTATGGAGACTTTTGAGCATATACAACTAAGCAGAATAATGAACTTGCATGCACTGGTCATTCTGGCCTTAACCGTCCATCCATGACTAATCCTATCCCATTCACACTTTCATTTAGTTGTCTTCTTTCATTATTTTAAGGAATTTCCAGATATAATTTTATTCATAATTATTTCAGTACGTATCTGTAAAAGACAGTTCTTTGAAAAAAATACTATCACCCCCAACAAAACTAGTAATATTTATCTAGACGTACTAATATATTTACCAATTTTATTGCTCTATAACTCTTTCTGTATCCCCAAGTTTCTATTTGGGATAATTTTCTTTTGACTTAGAAAATATATTAGCACTAGTCTGCTGGTGATGAATTTTGGTTTTGTTTGACTGAAGATGTCTTTATTACTCCTTCATTTTTTGAAGGCTGTTTTTGCTGGGTATAAAATTTGGGATTGGCAGCTATTTTCTTTCAGTAGTTAAGAAAAATACCCATTCCATTGTTGTCTCATGATTTCTGTGAAGTCACTTGTCCTTGTATTATTGCTGTTTCTTTGAAGGTAATCTCTTTCTCTAGCTCCTTGTGAGATTCTCCCTATAGCTGGTTTTCAGAATTTCTACTACAATAAGCTTGGTATAGTTTTCTTTATATTTATCCTATTAGGGATTCACAGTTTTCCTTGATCTACAGTTTGATACCTTTTGTCACTTTTGGAAGATTCTCAGGTATTCACTCTTTGAATAATTACTTCTGCCCATTTTTTCCTCCACTCCTTCTGAGAATCCAGTCACATGTTAGAAACACATTTTTCCTGGGTTCTTTATTTTGCTCTTATGACTTGGCAAAATGTAATGTTGAGCTTATCTATTGAGTTCTCAATTTGGCAACCATAGTTTTCAGTTCTTGAATTTCTATTTGATTCTTTTTATGGATTTTGTTTTCTACTAATACTCTTAATCTTGCCTTTTATCTTCTTAAACAGTAAGAATTTTATCTTAAATCTTTAAGAGTCTGTATCTTCATTTTTTGGAGCCCCTGTAAGTTTGTTTTAATTTTCTGTTTTCTTTTAGTTGTGTCAACATGTCTCTCTACCTGGTTATTTTTCATTGTCAGATATTATGTATCAAAAATTGTAAAAATATTTGGAGGCCTAAGATGCAGAAATAAATCCTGTGTAGAAGATGATGCTTGTTTTTGGCAAGCAGCTAGGGGTACCAGCAATCCAGATTCACTTTTAATTTCAGGTATTAAAGGGAAACTGCTTAGTTCCAAGGTGTAGTTCTTCAGGTTTCAATCTAAAGCATGGGTGATGTACAAGATTCTCCTCCCCTTATCAGTCACTAGACTACGATTTTTCTCCCTAGCTCCACAAGACTATTAGAACAAACACTGTTCTACCTCTCAACCTCTTAGTCACCTCCTCTTCCCAAATCAACAGGTACTCTAGGAGAAAAGAAGCCACAAATGCTAGGTTCTTCTGTCTGAATTTCCTTTCTCTCCCAGATCTTGACACTTTTAACTCTCAATGGACTTTTTAAAACCTCCAGTATCTTAAAGAGATCTAAAGATATTTTATTGGGATGCCTGGGTATCTTAGTTGGTTGAGCATCTGACTCTTGATATAGGCTCAGGTCATGGTCCCAAGGTCGTGGGATTGAGCCCTGGGTCCACTCTAAGCATGGAGACTACTCAAAATTCTTTCTTTTTTTTCCTGTCTCTCTCCCTCTGCCCCCTCCCCTGCTCATGCACTCTGTAAAAAATAGAAATTAAAAAAATAAAAATATTTTATTAATGTTTTGTAGTCGTTCTCTGTAGAATGATTGGTCCTGGGTCCAAAATATGTAGTCCATCATGACTGAAAGTGAAAACCACCCCAGTTTTTTCTAACATCACGTTTCTAACATCACGTTTCTGTCCCCATCAGATCGAGGCAATGACAACTGGCTGATTAAATATGACTGTCCAATGGATAGTTCTAGCTCTCGGGTAAGAGTTTGATCTATGTCTTGAAGAAGTGGATGAGGTAGTCTTATATGCATAATGTAGAAGCATATAATAATCAGAAATTAGGTTATATAAGTTGATAAGAATCAGGATAGCACATGTGTTTAAAATTGATAGATTAATATTTGATAGAGTATTTCTCAGTCTGTTTTTTAAGGAATATCCTATTGAATAATGTTAATAGAGGTAAAATGAAGAAAATTCCAAATAAGCTTGTAATATATTACATACTTTATGCTTTTCTTGGAGATTCACATTGCACAGTAGCATTAGTAAAGGTCTGAGAAGTAATTTTGTTTGCCCCATGATTTCTAAACTTTTTTAGAATACTTTTCTTACTTACAATAGACCATAATTCCAGTTTAGAAAAAGCTTTTCAGTTTAGAAAAAGCTGCTTCCTGCAACTTCCCTTATTCTCTCATTGCTTTCATACTCCACCATACTTTTCTAGTCTGCTCAGTCTGCACATTTAAAAAAATTAGTGGAATAAGAGAGTGAGGTTGACTTTAATTCCTTAGAGTATTTTTTTTGTCCAGCTTCAAAAATAATTGATATGTAACATTGTACAGGTTTAAGATGTACAGCATTGTGATTTAATGCATGTATATTTTGCAAAATGTTTACCACATTAAGGTTAGTTAACACATCCTCATAGTGTTTTTACTTCCTTTCTAATAATGGTTCTCATATTTTGTACATATCAGAATTACCTGAAAACCTTATTAAAAATACAGATTCTTTAAGGCTTTCTCCCACTAGGTCTGGAGTTAAAACTTAGGATTCCACACTTCTAGTAATATACTGTAGGGGATTCTGATGCAGGTATCCTGGACCCGCATTCCCTGTTTCTGTGATGCCACCTGTGAACCTGAGGCATGGCACCCAGTAGACAGTCATGGGAGTGTCTAACATGCCGTCATAGGTAGCCTGCCCCACTCTTTGTATTCAGCTCTTGTCCTTGTCCTTTTTACCTATCCCTGAAATAGCAGGAAACTCTCTTGTGCAAGAGTAACCAACTGTTATCTTCCACGGTCCTGTTATCTCATGGGAAAATGTCATCACCAGTAAAGTAGCACCTGGTCAGGGTCTACAGAAAAGGATCTTGGCTGGCCGATATTTGATTTTCTTTTTCCTTTTCATCCTCTCAGGACTTTCACTGCCTTTCCCTACGAGGAAGGCTTAGAGTTGCCTTTTGTTATTGTCAGTTTCCTTCTTATGGAGGGCTGTGGCAACTCCTGAGGAAGTATACCTTTTCTTAGATAAGGGACTCTGAGAACCTTGAATAACCCAGTAAGAGGTGCCATAAATGTACTAAGTTCAGGTAACTATGGAAACGAGTTCAGAGGTTGAATAAGGATTGGTGCACGAGGGGGTTGGGATGGGTGCTTTGCTACTACTTTAAAGGGCATGAGACAGGTGGGACCCTAAGTATTGGTCTTTCCTTGTTCTTCAGGACACAGACTGGGTGGTGGTGAAGGAGCCTGTTATCAAGGTGGCTGCTATAGACAACGGGCTGGCTTTCCCTCTGAAACATCCTGACTCCTGGAGGGCATGTAAGTCTCAAGACCATTGTGGTCTGGCTTTTTCTTACTTGGTCTCTGTTTTCTCATCTATGCAGTGAAGAGTGTACCTCTACCACAGGATTATTCTAAGAATTTGTAGAATAATGCAGCTCATGCATTTAGCCCGGTAGCTGGCATGTAGGGCAAGTACTGCAAAATGCAAGTACTCTTGTCATTTTTACCTTACGTCATTCCTATTCAAAGCACAGAGTTGAATTTTCTCATCAATGCTTTGCATTTTTTCATTATTTCTGAGGACTGTCTTATTGTAATTTATCCTATTATAATATTATTATTCTGTTTCTAAATATAAGCTATCGCCAGTGTTTTCTGTCTTCCTTGATGACATCCTGGAAGCCAGCCCCTGCCCTGGTAATAACTGAGAAACTCTGAGAAAGAAAGGGAGATACAAGTAGAGGGTCACTAGCTCCTTTTCAGTACTGTGTGCCTTTTCAGAAGGAGCATCTCAGTGTCTCACTGGTGGATAACTAGAAGGTCATGTGATGTCTGGGAAAGAGCACAAGCTCTTGGCTTTGGCAATTCTGGGTTTGAATCCTAATTCCTCCACTTTGTAGCCTTTAGAGGTAACAGCCCCTTTAACATTCCTGTTGTGAGTGAAGTAAGAGGGCTATTCTGCCTTCGCCAGTGCTCTGATAGGTGGAGGCCAGAGACGGGCAGCTTTGTTTTTTGCTTTTCCTCTTTTCAGATCCCTTTTACTGGGCCTGGTTGCCCCAGGCAAAAGTCCCGTTCTCTCAGGAGATCAAAGATCTGATTCTTCCGAAGATATCGGACCCTAACTTCGTCAAGGACTTGGAGGAGGACCTATATGAACTCTTCAAGGTTAGCCCTGGGAACCTCAGCCTTATAACTAACTATATGGAAGAAGGAATCTCTAATGGCTTTTCTTTCTCATGGGTCCAAGAGAGAATGGCTAACACTCTACTGACTTGTGTTGACCAATGAAGAGCAAGCAAAATTCCCACATGTGGGCATCAAGGCCTAGTTTGAGTTGGTTTGCAAAAAATTGGCAGTCGTGATGAATCACCGTGGCTTGTCATGGGGCTGCAGCGTATCTGTAGAGCTCTCCTTCTCCAGTGGAGCACTAGAGCCCGGCGTTCTTTACAGTTCATAATGAGACTTGGGACAAGATAGTCACTTGTTCTCTTCCTCACCCGTGAAACAGAGTTCTTAGGTTGGTAGTTAATTTCACTAAGCCTCATAAGCCTCATGTAAGTTTTCTTTATTAGAAAGTTTCTAATTGGGGGAAGAAAGCGGGTTCTTCTGAGGGATTCACGAAGGTTCTGTCTCCTGCCTTTTTGCAGAAAGATCCTGGTTTCGACAGGGGCCAGTTCCATAAGCAGATTGCTGTCATGCGGGGACAGGTAAGTGCGGGACTTCCTCCTGTTGTCATCCCTGGAATCTCTCTGGGAGGGTTATATGCTCGTGTTGAGGAAATGCATAAAGCTTCTGTTTTACACCCTTTTAATCTAAGCCATACATATTTGTGACTCTGTCTTAGCATGTGGGAGAGGAAAGGTAGCATTTTCAAATCTCCCACTTCTTCCATTGTGTCCAGTGCTCTGTGCCCGTTGCTGGCTAGTTCATTGGTAAATTTACCCAGTGGCCCCTGTCCTCAAGTTGCTCAAGGCAGGCCATAGGCCTTGGTGGTTAAGAGCCAGCCTCTGGAGTCTGACTTCTTCACTACTTACAAGCTCTGTGGCCCTGGGCAAGAACCTCAGCTTCCTTGTTTACAAAATGTGACAATAATAATTCCTTGCAGAGTTGACCAAAGGATTACGTAAGATAATGCCATATCAAGTGTTCAGTAAAAATGATTACCTAGCACATGGTTAGCACTCATATATTGGCTGTGGTTCTAATTTTTGTTATCATTGTAAGTTGTATTATTTCTACTTTCTCTACTTTACCTTCAAAGAAAGTTAAGGAAACCCCTAGAGCATTGTTGATCTTCCAAAGTAAAGACTGTGCCTGAAAAATTGTTTTAGAACTCTGTAGGGCACTGACATTCTGCTTATCACTTTAATGTTTTCTTTTCTTTTTTTTTAATGTTTATTTATTTATTTTGGTACAGAGAGGGAGTGTGTGTAAGTGGGGCAGAGAGACAGAGGGAGAGAGAGAATCCCAGCGTGGAATCTGACATGGGGCTCAAACCCACGAGCCATGACCTGAGGGAATATCAAGAGTCAGATGCTCGACTGACTGAGCTGCCCAGGCGTCCCCACTTAAAAGTGTTCTTAAAGAGATCTGGGATGGCCTAGTGGGATGACCCAGTGGACATAGTGCCTGTGTTTGAATCCTAGCTCTGTTATTTATTGGCTGTGAGGTCTTGGAGAAGTTGCTTATCTCTCCTTCTTTTAGTTTGTCCCCATGTAACATGGGGTTGATAATAGCTCTTATCTCATAGGGCTATTATGAGATCAATGGTTTGGAGCAGTACCTGGTGTATTGAAGTAATCCGTATGTATTAACGGTTTTGATTATGATTTTGCACGCAGAAGAGGCAGGTTCTCACATCTTTAAAGGTCAAGAAGGTCTTTCCAGTCATAATTATGCATTTGCCTCTTGATACCGTTTAGGTAAAGGCTTCTGGTGAGAGCAGCTCTTGGTCTTACTGAGTTCATGTTTCCTCGGAAATGGGATGTACAGAGGTTTTAAGAGCTGCAGTTATTACAGCTGCTTGAATACCAGTGATGTGGTCTTCCTACATTTCCCAAATAATGTTAGGGCCCAGTTAAGCAGGCAAAATTTCTGGAAACCTTAAAAGCCACATGATATACTGTGGTATTATGGAACTCGACATAAAGGAATGAACTTCTCAAGCTTCTGTAGGCTGTGCCTCTGTCCCTATTATACTCTCTTCTCTAATCCCTTTCCAGCTCAGTCCCTTGCCAAAACCATAGCAACCCTCCTCTCATCATATCCAGTCAGGGCCATTGTCTAGAGTGGTAAAACGAGGGTGGGAGAGTACAATTTTCTCTTTCTCTCTGTCTTGTGTCATTCATGTCCTTTGAGGGCCTTTTGGCCTCTTCTGACTTAGAGTGCCTCCCTCTCAACGCCATAAGTTTCCATGAGCATACCGCTCCTTTCAGCAGGTAGGTGGCCAATGTATCGGTCACATCCTTACTTGCTTACCAGTCATACACCAAGGCAAAACGAGTCTCTGCCTTACAGAAATCTGACTTCCCACAGGGAAAGGAGGTCATGGCCCTCTACTTACCTGAGGCCTAATCACAGAGTGCCTGTATGAGAGCCCTAAGCCGAAGGGGAGGAGCAAAGAACTCCCAGAGATGGAGCTGGGTGCCAGTTGTTACTCAAAATAAAGACTTTGCACCAGATGTTAGATAGAGTACAGGGTCTGAGCGAAAGCCCCTTTAAATAGCACTTTCAAATGTGTTATCAATTTCTTGTCAACTTTTTAATTTGAAGAATTTCAAACCTTAGTAAAGTAGGATCTTCTCCTAGATTCACCAGTTATTATATTTAGTTAGCCACGTTTGCTTTATCTCTGTATCTGTTTGCTAGTATCTCTAGAGGTTATCTGAGTAATCACTTTACAAATGTATATCACTATACAAATGTATATAACTTCTCTCTTTAATACAACTGTATAATTTGTCTCTCCCTAGATAGATAAATTGATATATTTTATTTTTGACCAAATCTTTTGAAAGTGAGTTGTAGATAATTGACATTTTAGCCCAAATAACTTCAGCGTGCACGAAAGGCAGCTTGTAACCTGAAGATCCAGAGGGGAGGCACAGGAAGAACCAGCCAGGGCAGGTTTAAAATCCTCTGTCTCTTGGGGTGCCTGGGTGGCTTGGTGAGTTAAGCATCTTGCTCTTGATTTTGGCTCAGGTCATGATCTCATGATTCATAGGATCAAGCCCCTTGTTGGGCTCTGTGCTGACAGCATGGAGTCTGCTTGGGATTCTGTCTCCCTTTTTCTCTGCCCCTTGCCTCCCCAAATAAAATAAACTTAATTCACTCCAATTCCATTTGAACCTCCTTTTTATTCTCTACCCTGAGTTTGTGCTCAAGGCTCTTTGAAGCAGTGGAGGATGCTGATGGATATTAAAACAATGAAGTAAAAAATAATTACGGATAGGATCCACTTCTGACCTCTCACCTCTGTTTCAGGGGTCTCTCTGCCTCTTTATGGGCAGGGTTTACAGGCCAGGGATATTTGTGGCTTGAAGGCTTGTGTGTCTGTGTGATTTGAGGGTGTAACCTTGCTTACCTCCCCTCTGTGTGTGGCCTGGCTGTGAAAACCTTCAACATCTGGCAGTTTAAAGAAGGCTATCATAGGGGTATCTTGCTGGCCCAGTTGGTAGAACATGTGACTCTTGATCTTGGGGTTGTGAGTTCAGGCCCCATATTGGGTGTGAGGATTATTTAAACATAAAATCTTTTTTTAAGTTATTTTCAATTTTTATAAAAATTTTTAAAAATGTTTTATTTATTTATTTTTGACAGAGAGAGAGAAAGAGCATGAACAGGGCAGGGGTAGAGAGTGATGAAACACAGAATCTGAAGCAGGTTCCAGGCTCTGAGCTGTCAGCATAGAGCCCGACACAGGGCTTGAACTTGTGAACCACAAGATCATGACCTGAGCCAAAGTTGGCCACCCAGCTGACTGAGCCACCCAGGCGCCACTTGATTTTTTAAATTTTTTAGAGAGACAGTGTGTGAGCAGGGGAGAGGGGCAGAGGGGTAGAGAGAGACTTAAGCAGGCTTCATGCCCAGCATGGCGCCTGATGTGGGGCTTCATCCCACTACCCTGGGATGGTGACCTGAGCTGAAATCAAGGGTTGGGCAGTCAACCAACTGAGCCACCCAGGTGCCCCATACTTAAAATAAAATCTTAAGGGGCTCCTAGGTGGCTCAGTCAGTTGAGCATCTGACTTGTGTGTGTGTGTGGGGGGGGGGGTCTTTATTTCAGCTCAGGTCATGATCTCACAGTTTGTGAGTTCAACTCCCACATTGGGCTTTGTGCTGGCATGGGAGCCTGCTTGGGATTCTTTCACCCTCTGTCTCTGCTCTACCCTCTCCTGCCCCCTCTTTCTTCTCAGAATAAATAAACTTAAAATAAAATATTAAAAATAAATTTTAAAAAATCATTAAAAAATTTTTTAGATTTATTAATCTTGAGAGAGCGTGTATGACCAGGGAAGGGGCAGAGAGAAAGAGAATCCCAAGCAGGCTTTGCACTGTCAGTGCAGAGCCCGATACAGGACTTAAACTCGTGATCACGACCTGAGCAGAAATCAAGAGTCAGTCACTTAACCAACTAAGCTACCCAGGCACCCCATAAATAAAATCTTAAAGAAAAGAAATTGTTTTAGAAAGAAAGCAAGCAGGCTATTATCAGACTACTTCCACTTTTGTACTCTCCTATCAGAGAAGATAAATGGTGGTGACTCTAATTCTGACAAGCGTGTTCCCATGGACACATTTCTGAAATATCTGTAAATACAGACGAAAGTTGGTAAAGACCTATCCTGAATGAGATCCCGAAATCAAAAAAGAACAGTACTTGAAAAGCTAATGAAATCCAAGTTAAGTCTGGCATTTGGTTAATAGTAATGTTCCACTGTTAATTCCTTAGTTTTGATAAATGTACCATAGTTATATAAAATTTAAAATAGGAGAAACTAGTAAGTGGTGTACGGGAATTCTGTACTATCTTTGTAACTTTTCTGTAAGTCTAAAATTATTCCAAAGTAAAAATTTTACTCAAAAAACCTCACAAAAACGATGATACAGAGGCAGCATTAAGGGTCCTTGCGTAGCTCTGTCAGTTAAGTGTCTGACTCTTGATCTGGGCTCAGGTCATGATCTCATGGTTTGTGAGATCGGGCCTCATGTTGGGCTCTGCGCTGACAGTGTGGAGCCTGCTAGGGACTCTCCTCTCTCCCTCTGCCCCTCCCCTGGGTGCTCTCTCTCAAAATAAATAAGTAACCTTGGAAAAAGAAAAAAAAGATAGCAGTAGAGGGAGAAGTTAACTGAAATGTTGGCTTTTTTCAAAATATATGGTCTTTGTAGGAAAATCAGAAGATAAACAACCATGAACAAATAAAAATCACCTATAATTCCTTGACCCAAAGATAATCACTGCCAAGTTCCAGAATTTTTTACTCTGCAGATAGGAAGATAGAGTTTTAGAAAACAAAGGTAGAGTCTTTACATTATAATACTAGCTCCTATCTATGTCCTTTTCTATCTAATGATATTGTGATTAGCTTGTCATGCCAATAAAATCTTTTAATTGCTGTTTTTATCCCTTAATTATTAACTGCTCCCATACTCTGAAGCATTGATACCATTTTCACTGCTAAAAACAATACCGCATTGTATTAGTTGAAACTAAGTGTTTTGTGCATATCCATGATTGTTTCTATAGTTCCTAAAAGTGGAATTGCTGAGTCAGAGGGCCTGTTCACTTTTAAACCTTTATCATCCACTTGCCTTTCTGAAAAACTGGCCTAGGGTTCAGCCCTACAGCCTGGCTCTGAACTCTCTCCACTTCTGAGGCAGCTTCTTCTGTATCCTTACTAATGGGAAAAGGGAAAAGTGGGAGCTTTTTGTTTTAATTTGTATTTTTTAAATAACTGGAAAGCCTTCCATTTTCTGCATTTTGCCCACTTTTATTCCTACTTCTGGAAATACCCTCTTTGTATAATTTTTCATTTATGTGTTGTTTATTTGTGTATCGATTTATGGGAGCACTCTACCAGCAGGTCCCCCATCAGAGGCAGACCAGGATGCCTCGGTCTTCTCCTCACTGATCTTATTTTTCCTACTGCAGATCCTAAATCTGACCCAGGCCCTGAAAGACAACAAGAGTCCCCTGCACCTTGTCCAGATGCCACCCGTGATTGTCGAGACAGCCCGTTCCCACCAGCGATCTTCTAGCGAGTCCTACACACAGAGCTTTCAGAGTCGGAAGCCCTTCTTTTCGTGGTGGTAGCCCGAGAGGCATACAGAGACCTCCTGTTCGAGACGGGCCGGGAGGAAGCCTGGGGTGGGTTGCAGAAAAGCCCGAGAAGCCGGTGGAGAGCAGTGCCCTCGAGGGCCCTGCTTCTCTGCTCATCACCCTCCTCAGGGCTTTCCCAAGCACAGGGAGAAGCACAATCAGAGGGGCAGTGTGTGCTGGTGAGCCCTTCTGAGTGCTAGGGAGGGCTAGAGCCTCCGTGCAGGTAGTCCAGGTGCCCCGGAAGGAGCATCTCCCTTCCAGCATCCCCTGGGGCAGGCTGGGAAATTCCCTTCCCTCCCTGACACCCTGCTCTGTGGCAATTCCTCATTATATTCTGCATCAGAAAACAGACAAATACACATTTAAATATTAGTTGCAAAACCCAGGCAGAATCCCTGATCCTCTCAGGTCAGAAACCTCTGATCCAGACCTAAATTTGCATGGACCCAGACACTCAGGTGCCTCACAGTTCCTTACTCCCATGGACCAAGGCAGCTGGGTGATTCAGAGGGCAGCTGGGTGACTCACCAGTTGGGACACACAGAAGCCACACATTTCCTTTGGGTTTTTTGCCAGGTTTTCTTCCCCTTCTCCCACCAGTGCAAAGGCTGACTGAAAGCCTCCCAACCCGGTTCTCATGGCGGGGACACTTTTGCTCCAGAACTCTTCATAGTTCTGCATACGATCGTAGAGGTTGGCTTTGCTGTCTGCCCTCCCAGGGACACGGCTCTCTAGTCCAGGCTTGCAGTTTGCCCGGCATTCAGGCAAAGGCAAGAGGGCGGAAGTGGCCCCCCTGCGTGCACAAGTCATCCATTTGGCCTGAGTACATACGGGTCTGTAACTGGTCTGGGGGCAGACATCCCAGCCTTGCTTCCCGAGTCCTGGTGACAGACTCCTTCAGTCCCCTAGTCTGTTTCTGTTGTTTTAGATATTTTTTTTCTCAACACTTTTCCCTTAGGGGTTCAGTTCTGGGTTCTGGAGTGGGTCTCAGTGAGGATTCTGGGGTGTATCTCAGCTCATAAGACAACAGGATATTAGGTCCCTGGACTTCTTTTTATGCTACCACTGCTGCTGCTTGGTGGAGGTAATGGGACTCATATCCTCTTCCTAGTTGGCAGCTTCCCTTTGCTCCCTGACTTCTTGTTCTAGGCCAGTTTTTCCATGGCTTCTTGAGAAAGGCAGGGCCCAAAGGAGAAGGGCCTTCGAACTGTCCCCTTGTGCCTGCCCAGCTCAATGTGCATCTTCCTGCTTCCATGTCTCTTCCCCTCAGCCATCCCCCTTGCCAGGTGTCTGAGCCCTTTCTACACCAAAGCAAAGAATGGCCTCAGGAGAGAGTAGAGAGGGTGCCGCCTTGGCTAAGGGGCTCTGTGCTACTGGACATTTCGAGATTCTGGCACCCTGCGATTGGTCAATCAGCCTTGGAAAGAAACTATCTCGAAGGTTTGAAAAACAACCAAAGAAAGGGAGCGAGGACTGTGGCTGTGTGCCCTCGGCTTGCCCAGCTCCCCCTGTCCAGGAGGCAGAGCGGAGGTGTGCGGCCCTCGCGTCAGCTGGGCCAACCTGGTCCCATGCATCCCAGCCCACAGGAGCCAGCTTGTACTGGGGTCCCTCCCTCCCCCCGCTCCCCCCTCCCCCCACCCCAGCTGACAGGAAGAGTCTCCAGGAGCTGGATATGCATGCCCTGTGGAGGAAGGCACAGCTTCTAATCTTGACAATCTCATTCAGCTGGCCTGGAATCTAGCCTTGGGGACCATGTTTGTGGCAGTGCCTGCGCCCAGACTGTAGGAGCAGCAGGGCTCCCAGATGCCAGAAAGGACCCAGGTGTGTGTGGCTCTCCAAAGACATCCCGACACAGACCTGTTGGTAAAGCTTCCCACCTGGGTGTCAAGAGAGCCTTCGCTTAGAGGAGGCTGGCTGCTTCCCCAGCCAAGTGGGTCTGCACTTTGCCCTCATCTAGACCAGCTCTGTGACGAGAAGGAATTGGGTCCAGCGTACGAGGGGGCTTCCAGTCCTGGCAGGCGGGAGTGTGGGGCATCCTTTCCTGGCATGCTCCCATTCTCCTGGAAGCCTGTACTCAGGTTGCCTTGAACGTGGACTCGGGGAGAGCCAAGAGTCCAAAGGGCCAGGGTAGGCTTCTGGGCAGCACTCGCGGGACAGCCGGCCCCTCTGTCAGCTGCAAGCCCTGTCTCCGTGTCAGGGAGGAGAGGCTGGGCTGGGAGAATGCTGCTGCCTGTGTTCTTCCAACGCACTGTAGAACTTGTATGTAATGTATTTAAATCAATGCAAATGTATGAATAACAAGTCCAATTCTGACCTTTTTTGTCTAGTTTTCTTGGGTGAAGGGAAGACAAGGTAGAATGCAGTTTTAAGGACAACCATGTGTTTCCATGGAGTTGCTGAGATGCAGCTCCTAAGGTATACAGGTCCTCATTTCCAAGGCCCCAGTGCTCTGGAAACCAGAAATTGATTCGTTTGGTACCAAAAGCTGACCTGAACCTACACTGATGTGAATTGAAGCTATTTGTAACCATGTTTTCCTCTTAGTGTATTTGTTGCAGAAACATTGTTGTTGTTGTTTTTTTTTTATGAGATAGTTCCCTAGTAGGGATTATGCAGTATTTGCACTGAATACTTCCTAAAAGCTGAAAAATACGAATAACAAAATCATCTAGCCCTAAGGGTTTGGGATGAGGAATGTGGACTCAGCTTCTCTTCTTGGCCACAAGAGGGCAGCCTGTCCTGTGTGCATATCATTGCCTGCTTGAAGCACTTTGAAAATTGGGTCCTTTGTTTGAACCCTGGGTCCTTTAAGTGGTGGGCAATGGGACAGATAGGATGCCTGGGGAGCAGAGGTGAATGCTAATGAGCACATAATATGCTATGAGCCAAAGCCCGTAGAGTGGTCCAAAATCCTCCCCTTAAAGGTTATCCGGCTACAGGGAACCTCAGATAATGCTGGAGGCTCAAGAATGATGGTCCAGCTATTAACACACCTCAGGATGGTTGGCCCATGGGGATAAAGAAGCCAGCCGAGGAGCCAGCAGCCAGTACTTTGCAGGCTTACTGCCCACTGTGCAAAGCTGACTGGAATAGTCTTTCACCTTTTAGAACTGGTGAGAGGCCAAGAGCCTTCTCTGTCTTATGGATCAGGACTGCCTACAGAGATGCTCCCATCTCCCGATCTCTGAGAAAGGAGGCTTTGGCACAGGGGATGGGGATAGGGGATGGGGGGTGGGGGTGTTACTCTCAGGGGATAAGGAGGCCTGGCCTATTTTCTCCTTCCCAGGAACACCCCTTCGCTGTGATAAGTGCAAGCCCTCACCCCTGGCTCCAGAGTGTCCACTGAAGGAGCCTCCCTTTCTGTGACAGACTCACACAGTTCTTGATGCAAATGGTTTTATTTTGCCACTTAAGCCACAGTTTCCTTGTGCCAGCCTGGCGGGCAGGGGTGTGGGCAGGCAGCAGGACCAAGGGTTACAGTAATAGCAGGAGGGTCGGTAGCAGGAGTGGTGAGATGCTCAGTCTCCGTGCCCATCGCTGGACTCCCAGGGGAATATCATGCAGCCCGAGTATACTGTTAGGTGGGAAGCGCTGAGGCAGGAATGGGTGCTGTTTCTCCTCATTCTGGTGAGGAGTGGGTCCCGCATGGCGCAGAGCTCAGGGGACACCTCCGGTCCTGTTCTGAATGGATCAGGCCAGTGGTAGTGATCTTCCATGTACCACTATGGGGCCATCCGCCTCCAGTCTCTCTTCCTTCTTCACCTCCTGGGCCCTTTGGCAAAAGTCCGTATGATTCCTGGGGAAGTTACTGCCGTTCCCAGCCCCTTCCCTGGATCAGTGTCTGATCTGATGGAGGTAGCCGGTGGGGCCTGGCTTCTTCCAGTTCCGCCGGATCCTGCCACTTGTCCTCCTGGAGTTCAGATACTGATCGCCAGAGGCCGTCTCTGTGGCGCCGCTCTGTGGGTTGGCCAGTGGGGCACGGGGCTCAGGGATTCTGCAGGGAACAAATGTGATAGGCCCAGATCAACAAGGAGAACAGAATAGGGACTAAAGAGATTTTGGTTATGATGAACCAGTAAAACACACTGTTCAGGGCAAAATGACACGAGGGCTCTGGACTCATCTGCCCCCTTGATTGCTAAAGACTAGGCAAAGCTTTCAGATTCCTTTTCTGTAAAGAGAGCTGGACTAGATCGGGGTGTGTGATGCTCAGCCTTTCTCCAGCTTCGTGCTGTATTCGTGGCAGCCATCATTAGCCAGCCACGATAGGAGACCGGAGGAACCAAGGTGTTTTAAATTGGGATTGCAAGTCAGCTGGAGTTCATATGAGCAAGAGGCTGATTTGCTCCCCCTGGACCTGATGACTCAGAAGACCTGTCCGGGTCTCATATTCTGACTGACTGTGGGCCCTGAGAAGGCAGCAGGAAGAACGGAGGGCAGAGTGTAACCACAGTGATAGGCTAGGCTGTATGGTTCTGCTTGACCCTGTGGGGCCTGCTGTTCCCAGGCTGTCAGTGACCTAGGCAAAGAGGGGGAGGACTAGGGGAAGTTTAAAGTTCCTCAACAATTTTTAACCCTCAGTGCCTCTACTAAACCTTTCTGTGCTATATTCTCTGTAATCCCACAGGCAAGATTTTAAGCAGGTTTACTTTTGATTGTTACCTGTTCTACAGACTTTTTCCTCCAAACAGTAGTCCCTCCCACCTGGCTGAGAATCTCTGCAAAATGAGGTGGCACAGATAGGATCCAGGCATTCCATCCTGTGGAAGTTCACCAGATCCTATAGGACTCCAGTAGTAACAGCAATCAGAGGCACTGTGTAGACCTTAAAGCACCCCCATGGCAGATACTTTAGAGTGAGGCCAAGTCAGGAGCTCAAGGTCATACAGCCATAAAATGGTGGAAGGAATATCCATAGTGTTCACCTTCTCTCAGCCCTCCAGTTCCAGGAACCCACCTGAGCCGGCTGCAGTGGTGCAGTGAGTGGCCCAGGGGTTTGGGCCGGGGGGGCCTCTTCCTACGCAGCCTCCTCAAGGCCTCTGCCACACGGTGGTCTCCTGCACACTCCCAGATGATCTGTGCCCGCTCTTCGGCCAGCTGGTCCCCACTGCGCTGAAACAGGCCCTGGATCTGCAGCAGCTCAGCGTCCTGGAAGATGTTGGCTGTGGCCTGCTTGCGGCCCCGGGCCTCAGCCGGGGCCTGCCAAGGGGGCGGCTCGCTTACCACAGAGGCTGGGGTTCCCATCCTGGGAGCTCTGGGGAAAGAAAGCACGGACAGACATCAGCTCAGCAGCCCCTTCCCAAAGCTGGGGTCCTGATGGAATACAAGGGCTTCTGGTGTTCCTGTTCTCCAGGGGCCAGTGTGCAGTAAGTCTTGACTTAAAATCACTCTAATTCCAGGGCACCTAGGGGAAACTATGCATAAGGATAGCCTGACTTTATTATAAGGTACTTATGAGTGCGACACACGTACTCTTTTACTGAAGAGGCCCAGCAACCAGTAAAGTAAGACTTGTTTATCCCCACCGTATAGGTGAAGTGCAGCTCAGCTGAAACGATCTTTCTGTGGTCACAAAGCCTTGTGTTAAGTGCAGAGCCAGGAGTAGAACCCAGGGCTGTGGCTCTAAAGCCCAGGCAGACCCCAGGACGCCCAGGTTGTAAGGATGATGCAAGCAGCAGCCACTGAAATGTGTTGAGCGTTTCACATGTATCAGGCCCGGCTGTAAGAGTCGTAGTCCCGTAACGTCATTGAAGTGCCAGCACGACATCCATCTGCGGTAGGCGTTGTACCCTCATTTCTCAAATGAAATTGAAGGACAGAATCCAGATGTCGCTGATGCGAAAGCCTAGGCTCTTAGCACAGAAGTGAGAAAGGGGTATGACGTTGGGCTACCCAGGCTGGAATCCCACTTCTAGCCACCTCCACCACTTACGGGCTCAGCTGCTTCCTGTGTAAACTTCTCAACTATACCAGTTCCTGCCTGAGTTGCAGTGTAGGACTGAGTGAAGACAGCGTTAAGAACAGTGCCCAATGTTCTACTATTCTGCTTTTCCATCTATAAAATTGAGAATAGTCATTGTACCTATTTTCAAGACCCTAGAGACAAACTAAGTCCGTACAGTTTAACAAACACAGTATGAAACAGACCAGTCAGATCTAACTGTAGTCCAAAAGGCCACGGAGAGGACCATAGGGACAAAGATGCAGCTCCAGGGCTTGAAATATACAGCCATAGGCAGAGGCTGAAATCTTATAAGAAAGTTTAATTAAAAGGAAGGCTCATGTCCATGTCCTGTCCCACCTTGCAGGAAATGAGAAATGATCTTCCCTCAGTTGGAGAGAGTTCCACCTTGAATAATAAAGGCATAAGAGGCTCATTCACCCTATCCTTGTCTAGTACAGCATGAAAAAGTTATGAGATTGGAATACAGACTAGAGACCAGGAAGACTAAGGACTCCGGTACTACACAAAACTGGGCTTGAATCCCAGCCCTGCCACCTTTGTAGCTGTGACCCTAGGCAAGTTACTCAACCTCTCTGAGCCTCTTTGCTCAGCTGTAAAATGGGGCTCATAACCGCTTCCTCAGACTGTTGTAAGGATTGAATGAGTCTAGTGTGGTATCAAGTACCTGATAAGAGCCAAATAAACGAAATGCCCACTCCACCCTCTGCCCTTTTGACACCAGCTTAAAAAGGAGGGAAATAAATATTAAAACATTTACATACAAAACATCCATGCCCCTGTGACAAACCCACACAGATGGAAATCATATACAGAAAGCATTCCCAGCTTCCGGTGCTCAGCCTGCTTGCAGAATGGCCCTGACTCTCACCTGCCTTTATTCTCCTGAGAGTTTGGACCACCTCTCCATCCCGTTTAGACTCCTCAAATGTAACTGGCCCTCCCTTTCCCTGGCCTTCCCTCCTCACCTCAACAGCCACCCTCCTCATTCCAGCAACTTCCACACTCCCCCTGTCCCAGTGTCTAGGACTCCTATTACAACCCCACTCTCTTCAAAAGATTTAATAACTAAAACCTGGAGAAGACTTTCAGGTAAATTAACTTCATAAAAATTGTGCTTTTTATCTGGAAGTGGGAATTGAAAAATCGATCTCTTCTTGGGCACTATTATGGAATCCAGTTAATAACGCAGTATGTGTGGTAATTAAATCCCCTGAGCTGGATGATAAAAATACACCATGACCAGAAAACAACAGTCACCAAGTAACACTGTCAGGCTGATAGAGAAAAAGGCTAACTATGGGGCATTCACTCTGCACCAGGCAGCGTGGCCACATGCCTGGTATCATTTCATCTTCAAAACAGTTCTAGGAATTGGGTGATGTTACCCTCAACTCACCGCAGCACACAGATGGGCAAGGGAAGCTGAGATACAGATGAAATGCCAGTTCAGCCAAGGCCAGGACCTGGCGTAAGGGGGCTGCCACTGTGTTCGAAAACCACAGCTGCCTTCACAGCCGAGCAGTTCAGAGCATAGGTCTTCCCATCGCTCTTGTGGGGATGTTTCACTGGTCTTACCTGACTCACAAAGGAGGAAACCTCCAGTGGGAAAGGGAAGAACAATGAATACATACACACGAGGCAGGGGCGGGGTTGTAGAATTTATTTTAATCTTTTCATTAACGTCAGAGCTGTTTACTGTGTGACCAGCTGTTCTAGCCTTGAACCCGAGGCTCTCAAGAGGAAGATCCCCAGCTCCCACAAAAGAAATCTGGAACTGCAACCCAGCCCAGTGCACAGAGTACTGGCTCATGAGTCAGAGGACCATGTCCGAGCCCTAGTTCTGCCACTCAGTGGCCAAGTGGCCTCAGGCACGTCACATCACCTCCATGGGCCTCTGTTTCCCTCTACATCTGTAGGAAGAACAGGATAGTGCTTATGCTGTCAAGAGGGCATGTGCAGAGTCTGTGACTCCGAGGATCTAGGTCTGTATGGAAGCAGCAGTTGGGTTTGCTTGTCTGCCAAGGCCTAGATGCAACATGTGTGGACAGGTCTGGCTAATTAGGTGCCAGGAAATTCCCCAACCAATAGTTCCCCATTTCTGCCCTCCTCAATCTTCCGTGGAGACAAGACACTTTTGCTGCTGTGGGATGTGGGGTTAGGGCGTGGGAGAAAGCAAATGGCTGCTGTAAAGCAGTCCAGTGACCTAGGGTGGCTACGGCCAAGCCCGGGGCAGACTCCTTGTCTGGTCTGGGTAGTGGGACAAGGGGTGATAATTGCTTCATTCAGACTCAGGCCTCTTACCCTCCCTTCAGGGAGATTGGCAACAGGATCACATAGCAGCAGCTGCCTTGGGGATGGCTTGGAGCCTCACTTCCCAGATTGTCGTCCCAGCCACCTAGGCCAGGCTGCAAGGCCCTACAAGGCCCTGCCTCCAGCCCCTAGCCGCCAAGTTACAGTGAGTTAGTTACACACTCACCAACAAGCCATCTGGGTGAGTCTGGGCCCTCCAGCTTCAACCATACCCTCCATGCACCTTGGGGTGGGGGGCCGTGGCACCTCCAGATTTTGAGATCCTCACTCTTGGTTCATCCTCCTACCCTGAGATTCAGCCAGCAGTGAGACTGGGAATAAAAATCAGTGGATTTCACATAGGATTAGATGTAAACTTTGGGAAAACCGAATCAGAACACTTTTATCGTCAAAAGAAACCTTTTTTAAGATTTTATTTTTACTTATATGCTTAACTGACTGAGCCACTCAGGTGCTCCTACTTTTATTATTTTTTAAAGATTTTATTTTTTTAAAGAAATCCTAATGTCCTCTTTTTTTAAGGTTTATTTTTATTTATTTTGAGAGAGAGAGCGAGCGAGCATGAGCGAGGGAGGGGCAGAGAGAAAGGGAGAGAGAATCCCAGGCAGGCTCAGCACTGTCAGTCCAGAGCCCGATGTGGGGCTTGATCTCAGGAACTGTGAGACCATGATCTGAGCTGAAATCAAGAGCTCCACACAATCCAATAAGCCACACAGGCACCCCAAAAATTTTATTTTTAAGTAATCTCTACATCCAGTATGGGGCTCGAACTTTCAAAAAACCCCGAGATCAAGAGTGGCGTGCTCTACTGACTGAACCAGCCAGCCTCCCCAGAAAAAACATTTTCCTATCTTATTATATGTGTATTCCCCACCCCCCTCAATTTTTTGGATAAGACTTGAATCCAGGAGTGTATACTTGAACAATGGTATTTTTCTAAACTGGAAAATGACACCACAGGGCTATAAAAAGATTACAAATGGATCTTTCATTCCAGAGTTGACATGAAAGAATATAAACATGGGTCTGTGGGCAAGTGAGTAAAAACTTACTGCAAAATACTTCAATTTGACTTAAAAATTAGCTTAAAAATGAACGCCCAAAGTAAATACCAAATGTTGAAAATGACAAAGTTCAACTTGTTTTGAAATAGGCAATAAATGAACTAGAGAGCTCTAACAAAGAAATATATTTAAGAAGTGACTCACCACGCAATGAGTTTGCAATATATATAGAGTGCACAACTGAGCGTCCTTTGTCGTATATGAAGCTCAGTCTAATCTGACAGGTCTCAGGGAGGCACAGGTACCCAGGAGAGGCAGAGAACACTTTGTGTCAGCTGGGTGGCAACTGCTTCCACACTCAGCTCACCTCCTTCAGATAACCCTGCTGATGGTAATAATCTGTAATCGGAGGCAAGGGGCCTCTTGGAAAAAGAACTGGAGGCTCTGGCCCAAGGCCCAAATCAACACTTGTGGCCCTGGCCTGCTTCCCTGCCACTGGACAGCTGCCAAAATCTGTGGCTCTTCCAGTGGGAGGTCCAGTCCACTTGGCGGCGTGAGCCTCCCGCCCTTTAGGGCCTAGCCCCGGCCAGGAGTGCCTGAGAGAACTGCACACGTCGGTCTCCAAATCTAATGTGGATGTGGAGAAAGGAACGGGGACCTACTCCAGACCAGTTCTCAGATATGACTGGAAAAGAAACTCTAGATCTAGCAATAACTCTTGAACGGTTCAAGAACCCTGAATTCTGGCTGTGCCACTAATAACCAAGTGACATTGGCAAGCCTGTTTCCCCTGCTTCATTTTGCTCATCATCAAAATAGTGAGAATGGTGAGAATAAATAACCCTTAAGGGAATAGGGGAGATAACAGTATGTGAACGCATCCATCTCAATACATTACATCATGAATGAGTGATGTTAAGGGAAAGGCTGTTTAACAATCAGACAGAAGAGAATCATTTTCATTCTCCTGAAACTCCCTCAAAAGGGGACTACATTCTTGGGGAAAGAGGGTAAAGGGAGATGGATTCATTTGTGGACTTTTTAAGTCACAGCTGCCATTAAGGCAGCGTTCTCTGTGTCAAGCACAGAACATCGTTTTCAAATAGATAATCTCTAATCCTCACTCCTATGCAGGGGCACTATGGTTATACCCATTTTACAGGTGAGAAAGGTGAGCTCAGAAAGGTTAAGTAACTTGCCCAAAGTCAAACAGAAGGTAGCTGATTATATACCCAGGTAGTATGACCCCAGCGCCCAGTCTCTGAACCACTGTTATTTTTGTTCCTGCCAGATGGCTGACGAGGTCTTCAGGGGAAGGAGCGACCCAGGAGGCTCTGAAACCTCTCGGAGCCTGCTATCTGCTTCTTCGGGTTTCGGAAGGCACAGGGATCGAAAGTCAGATCTCCCAGGGCAGCCTCGGCGCCCTCAGCACTCCGCGGCCCCGCGGGGAGTTAGAACGATTACTCACCACGCTGAAGGGCAGCGTCGACAGACCTCAAATCGGGACGGGGCAACCTAAGATGTGCCCATCCCAACCCCTTCACGGCCTTTCGAAAGGGCGGGCGTAGCTCTGCGCTTCCTGCTGTGAAGGTGCTCACAAGGGCCGGGCGGCGTTCGCCCACAGGGCGAGAGCTTGGGAGGGGATATCCTGGCCCAGATCGCTGGGCGACATCCCCGGCGCAGATCGGTCCCCGGGGCTCAGACTTGGCCGCTTCGCACAACGCCGGGCCCTAAAGTGAACCTGCGGGTTCGGGTCCCAGTGGCACCCGGGCTCTGATGGCCGGCCCGCCCGTTCCTACCGCAGCGCGAGCCGGGCCGCCAACCTACGTACCTGGCTGCCCAAGGCGGGCCACCTAGGTCACAGCCGCGACTCCCGGGAGAAAACGCTCCCCAGCCGGGGAAGAGCCAATCCTCGGCCAAGCTCTGGTGAGAGCTCCCCAGCGAGCCTTCCAAAATCGAACGCGGAGACTCTGTGGGCCAATCATCAGCAACAGAGCGTCGAGGGGCGTGTCCTGGCTCCGCCCCCCTCCCTTCGCCGGCGCCGAAACCCGAGTGCGAAGATTCTCCGGGTCCAATCAGAACGGAGTAGCGGCGAGGGGCGTGTCGCCGGGGCCCCTTCCCTCCGCCCTCCGCCGCCCTAGCGCGACGCCCGGAGGCGCCCCCTTCATTGACGTCAGTCCCCTGGGAGAGCGCGGTTTTGCTGGCGCGGGAGCGGGGCGGGGCCGCATTCCAGCTTCGGGGTGAGGCGGCTGCGAGCCCAGCAGGGTACACGTGATGGGTGCCCCCTCTCCTGGGCCCGAGGCCAGCGCACAAGGCGCCGCTCTCCTTGCAGCGTGTGGCCCTCTGCAAATAGATCCGCAGTTCCTTAAATTCATCTCCCAGACAGACCGCTTGTCTACTGGCTCCAGCTTTGAGGGAAAGAAAAGGACCTTGAGCTTCAAAGCTAGAATGTCGTGGGTTCGAATATTACAGCTGTGCAACCCTGGGCCAATGTTAAGAAGGTTTTATACATTCATTCGACAATGGTCAGTCCATTAGGGACCCACCCTGTCCAAAGTCCTTAACAGGCAGTGAATAGGAGACGCCTATAAGCCCCTGCCTTGGGGGAATTTACAGCCCAGCAAGGGAAGCAGATATTAAAAAGCTTAAAACATTTTAGCAGTGATGACAATTGTAATAAACATTATACCTATAAAAGAGTCAAATGGAGGAATCAGCTCCTTGTAGGAGGTCCTGGAAGGTAGAAGAAGTAACATCTAAGCTAAAATGTGAAGGAGGAGTTGAAGTTGGTCAGATGAAGAGGAGTGGGTCTGGAAAGAGTATTTAAGGAAGAGAGAATGGCATGTGCTAAGTCTAGGAGGTAGATGGACTCAGGAAGACTTGAAATAAGACCTGGAGTAAGGCTAGCAAGGGTGAAATTGGTGAAGCAGGAGGCAGAGGCGAGCTGTGAAAAAGTTTCCATTTGACTCTCTGAGGGGAATACCATTATATATATTTGTTTAATAGGTATTTTATTTTTAAGCTTATTTTTAAGAGAGAGAGCCTGCACACAAGTGGGGCGCTTGTGCAGAGAGGGGAGAGACAGAGAATCTGTCTGTGTGGAGCCCAATTCGGGCTCCAACAGTGAGATCATGAAATGAGCAAAGTCAGACGCTTAACTGACTGAGCCACCAAGGTGCCCCTTAATAGATATTTTATAGCACTCACCATGTGCCAGTAATACCAGTCAGCGCTTTACAATAATATTTGTAAATATCATCCTCCTGACAAATTTGTGTTCCTAGAAGGTCACTTTGGCCATAGGTTGGAATTTGGATTAGAGGGGATGGGTGTGGATGCAGAGTGCCCAATAGGTTCTTGATAAAGACTTGTTTATTTCTTTGGAAGATGAGACGTTCTTTGCTCACTAGTTCAAAAATGGTCAGGAAAGTGCCTGGCAATAGGCAGCTAGGCCTCCCTGACTTCTTTTTCGCTTCAGATCTGACCTTCATAGTCATTTAAGTGTGATTTCTCTTCTGTAAAAGTTCCCCGGGGGAAGGGGTAAGAGCCAGCACACAAGGATTTGTGGGTCCCTTTCTGCAAGGTGGAAGGAAGGGATGTTTGGGAGCTGTTCTCCCTCATCCCAGGGTCTCCAGTCCCTCTATCTGTCCTGCACAAAAACATCAGCAAGTGCTTTGCTGTAGTTAAAAGGGTTTTACCGGTGGTTTCTCTTTGTTTTTCCTGAAGACCTGGGGAACTATCAAGAGGAACAAAGAAATCAGCAATGTTCATCTTCCATTGAAGGCACTGATTGCTGCAATGCCTTTCAACCAACTGCTTGGCTAAAGAGAGGACTGTGTGGCCTCCTAAACAGGATGCCTGGGCTTCTGAAGCAGGGACTCCCTGTACCCTGTATCCTGATGCCAGGAGCTCAGAGGAGCATACCAGGATAGGAATTGGGAACTTGTGGCTTCTGGGTCAGATGTGACTAAGGCTGGGTGGAGAATATCTGGTCTCTCCAAATGCTTTTGCAGGCATGTGACCATACGCTTACCACACAGTGGAACCATTTCTGTCTTTACAGCTTTATGATTCAGTGTTTCTGATGAGAAGATAGGGCACTTCCATCATGCAGGAGCAGAGGACCTGGGATCCACCCCCACAACAGAGCCCTGTTTAGAGGAGAAGGTCAGCTCTGAGTAACAGAGCCCTGGTGTAATTCAGGCCAACAGTGGTTTTACCAGTTATCAGATTAAGGTGAGGTGAGTGAGGAAGATTCCTTGGGTGCAATATTTAACGGGGCATAAATAATCAAGATAAATATTTTCATGTAATATTTTAAAAAATCAAAATGTAAAACATCCAGGGCGAACAAAAGATCAACACTTAAAATAAAGACAGATTATTGTTTATTTTATGACCTGGTGTCATTTTGCAACAGGAACAGTCATTTCCAATCAGCCCGTGGTTCCCATGCACGTCACCATTATGCTCCCTGCCAATTAGCTTTAGGAGGGTTGAAAATAGTATGTGAACAGATTGGGCAACACAAGGCTTTATATACGGTCATGTGTTTTTGATGGTAAGGCTTTCATCAGCTTTTTCCATTTGATTCAAAATATGGAAGGATATTTTGGTAAGGGCATATAGGAGTGCATATGTTTCCTTTTGCTTCGGGTGCCAGTGTGGCTCAGCAAGGTGCTAGCTTTTAGGGGAGTAGAGCCTAGGAAAGGGGTTCCAGCTGCTCAACCTTAAGCAAATAACCTAACCTCTCTACTTCTCTATTTTCTCATCTGTAAAGTGGGAATAATCATGGCCACCTCTCTGTGTTGCTGTGAGGATGAAGTGAGGTGTTGTAGGCACAGAACTCAATATAAACCTTGCTCCAGACGGTAAACCAGCATTTGACTCCTTCCCTCTCTGTCCTGCAAGAGTTGGTCAAGCAACTCTTACAAATGGTTCCCTACTGGGGCTGAGATTTGTTCCAGTGGGCTTGTTGCTATCTGTTTGGGGGAGAGCAGAGAGAACGTTCACACTCAGCTGACCATCAGTAGTGTGACTCATGAGTCAACTCTGTTTTTCTGTTTTTTAAGATTTTTTTTTTTTTAATTTTAGAGGGTAGGGGGAGAATGCAAGAGGGAAAGAGGGGCAGAGGGAGGGAGAGAGAAAGAATGCCAAGCGGGCTCCATGCTCAGCACGGAGCTTGATCCCAAGACCCTGAGATCATGACCTGAGCCGAAATCAAGAGTCTGACACTCAACCCCCTGAGCCACCCAGGCACCCCAACTCTGTTTTTCTTGATAAATGATCCTGGTAATTCTAAACTTTTTAAAAAGCATCCTTCTGCTTAGGACATTATACAAGGCAATTTACTACAGCCCTTTTCTCTGAACTTAACAACAAAAACAACAGTAAAGTCCTACAAGCAAATAGTACATTATAGAAGCAGTAAAAAAACAAAACACAGCAAACGAAAAACCCACACCTAATCTAATCCATGTAGATTATAATGAAAGGTCAGTTTTGTATTAGTCTGCTCAGGCTGCCATAACAAAATACCACAGGCAGGGGGGCTTAACAACAGGAATTTGCTTTCTCACAGTTGTATGGACGGCAAGTCCAGGATCTAGGTGGCAGCTCACTCCGTGTCTGGTGAGAGCTCTCTTCCTGGGTTGCAGACAACAGCCTGCTCATCGTGTCCTCGTGTGGTGAAGAGAGAAAGGGAGCTCTCTGGTGTCTCTTCTTCTAAGGGCACTAATCCTATCAGATCAGGGCCCCACTCTTATGGAACCCTCATTTAACCTTAATTACTTCCTTACTCCAAATGCAGTGATATCAGAGGCTGGAGCTTCAACATGTGAATTGGGGGGGGGGGGGGGGGGGGAAACAATTCAGTCCATAGCAAGTATGAACTCACATTTTTTTGTTTTTATCTTTTTAATGTTTGTTTTTGAGAGAGAAAGACAGACAGACAGACAGACAGATTGTGAGCAGGGAGAGGCAGAAGGAGAGGAAGACGCAGAATCCGAAGCAGGCTCCAAGCTGTCAGCACAGAGCCCAACGTGGGGCTCGAACTCACAAACTGTGAGATCGTGACCTGAGCCGAAGTCAGATACTTACCTGACTGAGCCACCCCGGTGCCCCTGAACTCACAGATTTTAACAAACAGCTAAACAGATATAGCAATAGGTATGTGATAAAAAGTACATATTTACACATATGTAAGTGTATGCATATGTTTAAATGTGTATGTGTACATGCATATGTATATACACGAACACACACAAACACACACATTCCCCAGCTGTGTCTGCTGAGAGGGCCCAGAGGCAACGATACCACAATAGGAATAAGCACATTTGCAACCCACATACAGAGTTCTCAATTCCATGCTCCACAAAAGGAACCACGGCTCCTTGGAGAAATGAATCAACTACTGGGGTTGAGAAATAGCAAGATGATTCTAGAACATCTTGTACTGGAAAGTAAGGAAGTACTCAAAGAATGATGGAAACATCAAAAAGACTAGGACTCAGTTGATAAGGGCTCCCATCAGCAAAGGCAGAGCATCAAAATAAAAGATGACAGTAACAGATTATAACCCAATGAGTGAAGTAATACCTAAGTCCATAGCAATATAGAAATGAATAAAGAAAGGAGGACACAGCGGAGAACAGGCCTCCCTTATGGTAGAATGCCAGCTAATACCTGTACAAGCAATGAAGCGGCTAGAAAATCATTAATGGCTATTGAAACAGTCCTGTGGCCAATTATAAAGACAAGGATTGTAGTCGTTTTGCATATTTCATTTCTGTTGTATATATATGGTGGTTTTGTACATATTAACTTTTTTTTCCTCTCTCTTCACATTTTTATTTGTAAGTGTTGGAAGTTGTTGGAAGTTAATGTTACCAGTTTAGTCTTTAGTTAACAGTACATTCTGAGGGACTCCTGCAAAATCTGAGAAGTATTTAATACAGACTGTTGGGGCTGTGCCT